CTGGCTGGAGTAAAATGCTATTTCACTTTAATGCAGTTTCTGAGGTATTCTCTGCTCCTAGTTTGTATTTTGCACGCACAGGGGTAGTCTAACGCCTTCTATTATCTCTGATTTCTGTTATCTGAATAATTTTTCATGCACACATCAGCAATAGTATTTTTCAAGATGTTGTGTTTCCCAGTTAAACATTCACATCCCAAGGAATATTATTTTAATATTCTAATACAGTATGCAAATCTGCTATACTAATCTGCTTAAGTCAGCTAATGAATGATGCCTGCTGGACAGGATAGAATGTTGATAGTATTTGATTGTTGAACTTTGGAAAATATAGGGAAAATGTGTTTCCTTTCCAAAATGTGGGACAGTCACAATTTTATTAGAAAAGTGACATCAGTCCAGAAAGTTTAGCTCTAGCAAGTGTTTGTATCTAGAGTCCTTATTCAAGTCTGTCAACAATTGGCGGGGTTTTCCGCTTTTCCTATAATTTAAAACTGCAGCAGCATTCAGGCTTAAAAAAATGCATTCCAAAATTAATTTCATAGTGTTAAACTACAGTCTCAGATCAAGCACAGAAATGAGAATTCCCAGCATGGTGTTTTATACTAGCATTTAAACGACAGATTGTTTTTTACAGTGTTCCATTACAAAATTTTGTATAGGTGTTATGATTGCAAAGTCAAATAATAAATAGCTGAAAGAGAACATGCAGAGAGTGACTTTGCTTTGCTTTACTTTTGCTGCCTTTGTCAATTTACAGTATGACATTATCCATTATCTTTCTGAAGTAGAAATGCAGTGCAATTTTTTTCTTTAACCACTTCATAGCTTTCCACTGGGGGCCACATTCAGTAGTATGGTTCAAATGGTTTATAGAACATAATTTAAATCAGTTTATGCTTCTGTGAAGTCGTAAAGTATTTTAAAGCTGCTGGAATGTGTATGTAAATACCACCCTTAAAGTTTAGATTTATTTTGATAGCAGAACAGGTAGGAACATCGCTTCCTTACTCCAGCAGAACATGTTTTCATAATGAGACAGGTGACATTTCCAATTATACTAATTTCTGTTTAAAATCAGCAGTTTGCATATTAGCTCAGCTGTCTTTATACAGTTCCATCACTTGTGTGCTGAACAGTGCAAAGCAGTCAGTACTAGATCCTGAAGCAAATGATGGCTTCATGTTTAAGGACAAATTGCTAGTAAAATTGCCATTGTGGTGAACTATCTTTTGCAGAAGAAAACATGAGTGTATCATTGCAGCTGGTACCTTCTGGGTATTATTAATTCAACTAATGATGCTTTAACCATTTGAACCAAAAATCTGGAAAGCTTTAACCAAGATATAAATATTGTGATTCAATTATTTTTCTCATACTGATGGCTTTCTTTGAAATTTATTCATTCATGTTTTTTTGTGTCCTTACTGAAAACATATACTTAGGGTAAAAAAAATGGGCAGCTTTAGGCCAATTGCGTATTTAAGTTGTATTTTCCTTAGAATCATGTCAATGTGAAGGGTTCCATAGGCCATGCTACCAGTTTCAAACTTTGTAAATGGAGCAAAAGATCTGTGTTTTCAGATCTCCAGCTCCACCCTCACAACTGAATTGACATATAAAAAAAATTGTCTTGAGAATGTGATCACTGACAAAACTGCCAAAAATGAGCTGGCTGAGAAACTTTTTTTTCTTAAGAAACTTCTGGAACTTAAGGATGATTTGAACAAACAGTTTTTGGAGATCTTCTGTTTGAGACTATTTCAATCAATCAGACACAGAAAAAGGCAGGAGGTAGGGAGCGGAATGACTGTGTTTTCACTGAAGAAGTGAGCCAAATTTTTTATCCCACTTGGGGAAAATTGTCACTCTCATCTTCAGTGAAAACATAATCTGAGGGGACTTAAAGCTGCCAGGGATATAAGCTTGCTCTTTTTGGGAAGCTACATTTATTTCAATATAAACTGAATAATGTCATCTGGAAATTAAGCCCTTGTTAAATCTTCTTCCATATGCTTGATGCAAATCCAGTTGAAGTGAAATTTAATGATTTGCAGATAGGTCCCATGTGAAACAGTGATGTGTATATGATGCTTTCCTTTCATTCTAGTCAGAAGCAGATCTTACACACTTTCTCTGTTATATAAAAGAGCAGAAAGAGAACCTGTAAATGTGCACACGGTAGAGACTTTAACTAAGAAAGTACCATAGCTTGTTCAGCCCATTTACCATCTGTCTCAGAGAATGGAAAAATTCTTATTAAGATTGTAAATTTTTTCACTGCATGTGGGGATGAATTAAAAGCTCCTGTGATTTTATGTGACTATTCTAGTCCTGGCCAGACATTTTGCCACTGTGGTAGTGATTTGGCTTTACACATTTACTTAAGGAGAGAATTTGGGTAACAACTTAGGGGGTCACAGAATGTGAGGGGGTCAGAATTTATGGACCTGCAGATGAATAAATCATCTCTGTTCATCAGAAACTTTCAAGCAAGAAAAATTGCATCCATAGAGTAGCAATCAATGAACCGATGTCCAAATGAATGGGTGTACTGAATGAAGGTCTGCAGAGGTCTGTCTTGCTTCTGGTATAATCCAGTAATATTGATAATGATGTGGATTACACAATGGAGTAAATTTAAATTATTAAATTATTATTAAATTTGATCATGACATAAAGGGAGGACAGACTTCAGATACGTTGAAGAACAGGACTAGAAGTCAAAATGCCCTTAACAAACAGGTAAAATGGGCTGAAGAATGTACGGTGCTATTAAATACAGACAACAGCAGCAGGATAAATCAACTTTGAAAATATATATATACAGAGCTACTGGCTCTGTAGCAAATTGTTTGCAAAAAATGAGTGGCTTTGGTGGATTACAAACTCAATGTGGATCAACAATGTGATACTTCTGTTAAAGAAACGAATGTCATACTGGCCTGCATAAACAGGAATACAATCCATGAAATGTGAAATAATCCTTCTCCTTTGCTCAGTGTTGGTAAGACTGGTGCTGTAGTGCTGTTATGTGCTCATCACTTCAAGAAAGATGTACTAGAATCTGGAGGAAACCAGTGGAAATTATCAGAGGTTTAGAAAATACACCCTACCAAGGAAAATTGGATGAGCTGCTTTCTGCGTCTGAAGAGGCAGACTTTCTAATATTATTCAAATAAAGACAGCCTACTTACAAATTGGAAAGGAATTATTATGTTCCATATCCTTGGTGGATTGCACAAGAAGTAAGGGGTTTAAAATAAAAGAGGCAAGATTCAGATTAGACATTAGGAAAAAAATATTTTAGCAATAAGGATAGTGCAGCACCAATTGCCTGGGGAGTTCTTTAGGGAGTTTTGGTAAACATCAGTTAAAATGACACATGAATAATTGAACTCTGCCTTGGATGCTTAGAATTAATCAAGACACTTTGGTTTTTCCATCCTGACCTAGTGATGATTCAGTGATGTGCCAAGAGATGTACACAAAAATTCAGGAAAAGAGGATAAAAAAAAGAGAAGGGTTTGGTTGGGAGTCAGCAGTTCTTGAAAGCCAGTTTGGAGGGAAAAATAACAAAAATGAAAGGTTAGGACTTTATGGGAAGTAAAATTATTAAAAGTCACATACACATCCTGAACCACTGGACTGGCTGCTATTATGTTACTTCATTTGGATCTAGGAATGTGTGTGTTTCCTTCCTCCTACTGTAAGTTCACAGCCAAGCTGCTTCTCATCCCTTCCCACTTGTAAGGAGCTGCCTGGCTGTGGCTAATCACACAGCTGTTGCCAATATGATGGGTTTTGGTAGTTTTAATACCATTAGCAGAAAAGAAGTGGTTCCTTCAGAGGGCTAAACAGGTAAGACCTCTGCTGGCTGGGAAATCAGGTAGTGTAACACAAATAGTCTGTGGAAATGTGTCTTTAACACAGAAGACTTCTTGTGTTATTTGGGTAAAAGATGTTAAAGGTTTCCTACCTGAATGTGTTGTAATATGCTTAAAAAGAGGGGTTGTGAGAGGTTTATATGGAAATAGAAACATGCAAATGTTGATGTTTAATGACTGGAATGAGGTATTGTAACTATGCTTTGAGATGAACTATGTTAAACAAAGGTTTAGATGAGACAACTTTGGTTATGAAAGGGCATGTTTTGGGGAGGGCTTCTGCAGCACTTTCCCTGGGTGCCATCTTGGATGCTAGGCCTGCCTGGCCAAAACTAGCACTACCACCAGATTTTGCCTCACAAAAGTGCTTCTTTAACAAGAAAGTGTTAACTTTATCTCCTTGTTTCTTCTCATGTATGACATCTGCTTGGCATGTCAGTGTCGCTAGTTAGGAATAAACCTGTCCAGAGAAGTGGGTCTGCTGGGTAACTGGTCCCAGCTGAGAGCTGTGGGAGTGCAGCTGGTGGTGTTGGTGATGCTGCAGATATCAGTGTGGCTGCGAGGGGCCTCCCCTCTTGTCCCCTGATTGTCCCCCTGTTGTGGTCCTGCTGGCCACTGCTACCCAGGATGAGACAAGGCAGGGGCAGGTCTCCTGCCTGCTGCTCCCTTATAACTGAGGCAAGATCTGTCATTTTAAGATCTCAATCTATAACCTACAGATGTCACCTGCACAAAAGTGGCAGTTTATTTTAATACAGCCATTAATGGGGACAGGGCTGTTTGCAGTGGGCTGCAAAGCCCTGAGGAGCAGCCCTCAGTTCAGGCAGGAGGTACTGAAGCCTTTCAGAGAGGCCTTGCATGTAGGGGTGAGTTGGGCATACTTCTCTGAGGTGTTTTTCTACTCTGCAGTTTCATTGTGTCTGAAACATTTATTCTGTTATATCTTGTGCTGTAATCAGTGGTATTGCACTGCAATAATGAAGGCAAACCTGAGGTAAGCAGGAGTTTAACATAATATTGTGGTATGTTCACAGACAAATGTATGCTGATACTCTCTCTTTTTTTTTCCCCCTCTGCTCTCTTCAGGACTTCTGATTTAAGTAGCTAATCATCATGTCTGACCCTGTTGTTCTGCGTAGCATCAAGAAATTGGGAGAGGATAACTATGCTTTTGACTTGGATGGCAAAAGTAAGAAGTGTTTTTTTCAGTCAGCTCCTTATTTTATAATGCATGTAAAACAGGTGGTGGGTGGCCTAAGTGCAGCAAACAGTCTACAGAATAAAAAGCAAATAGTCTGTGGAATAAATAGAGTTATGAGGTACCTGCTGTTATTGGTATGTTGCTTGCAAAACAGCTTCTCTATAAAAACTACATATAACAATCCCTACTCATGGACAATCTTTATTTATTGGTCTATAAATTCAGGGTGTCTACCTAGGTTTTTATACTTAGCACTTTGGTGTACAAGTAAAGGGCCTTTACTGGGGAAAAAAAATGAAAAGTTCTGTCTTCCATAGTTTCTAGAGCTGCTTTCAACAAACACATATATCTGTAGTCATACTTATATTGGGCAGAATTCTTATGAGCTATTGCTATGCGAAGATATGCATCAGAGCTCATCAGAGCTTTTCCTTTTTTCTTCCATTTTTCCTTTGCAATGTGCACTTTTCCATTTTGCCAATCCAAATTTGGCAAGGGTCAAGGAAGAGAAACTGCTAAATATATTGAGTTCTGTTTATAAGACTTGAGAAAAGTGGACAAAGGGAGGGGTGTTAAATATTTATACTGCATGTAAGGTACAAAGGAAAGCAAAACAGTAGCAGATAATGGAAGACAAAGTGCAATGCAATGCAACATACATGCTCCTCACACAGAGTAGAAAGGGTTCACAAAAGGATTCCAGCACTCAGATATCACCAGGTTCTTTAGGCATACATACATTTTGTATTTTCAAATTCCCCGACAGCTGTGGTCTAATCCTGCAAGTGTTTAAGCTTTCATTGAAAACATTCTCCTAGGACCCAATGAAATGCTTCAGACCATGCATGAAATAGCTGGTGTTCTAACCATGGGCCTTATTGGGATTTACAAATGTGGCATTCACTCCCAATTTTACCTGCTTCATCACAAAAATTAGTGCTTTTAGGTCAGCTCTGAACAAAACACAACTTGAAGAGGAGGGATGCTTTTTTATCTTGGGTTCTCTCTTTTTTTTTTTTTTCTTTTATTTTAAGTCATCAAATGTATTGTTAGAACAATCAAGTTGGATAGTGATAAAGACTATGCCTTTTATTTCACTTGAATCTGTCATAAATGACAGATTACTTCCAGAAAACTGGAGACAGTCCCTCTCTCTTGGAACAATTTTTCACCAACAAAAAGAAATCAACGCAAACCATACTAGACTGAGTTACAGTGAATTATTTTTCCCCTGCCTAGGCAACAGCTCAGGTTTAAGGCAGTCCAGCCTCAGTCTCTTCTGTTTCATGGGAACCATCCATCTACCTTTTGTTAAAACTTATGCCATGCAGCAAAATTCTTCACATAACCATGTATGTCATGAAATTTCAGACAATAATCAAACTTTTTCAAGAACCTTATGACTAATTTTTAATGAGAGCCCTCTTCAAGCCTCTCTCCCTGCTATATAGCAGCAGCGTCTCAGCTATAACTTGATCTGTGATGTCTGTTGTTATTTTTCAAACTTAGTAGCTGCTGATTGATGCTAAGTCTGCATTTCAAATCTAGTATCATTCATTGTTTGGGCTTGGGATTTCCTTCCAATCTCTATCTGTAATAGGATGTCTCATACAGCTGTTAACATAACAGTAGAGTTTGAACACATTTGGAGTATTCAGTCTGAGCTTGGACTAAGCCTTGATTGTGGTTATCTTTGTAGAGATTGATTGATATCTGCAAACATAAAAGCAGGTGTTCCGTTAAAAAACAGTGCATGTGCTTTTCTTGGTCTGACATTAGAAACTGAACAAGAGCTTCATGTGCAGAAAATGTTATGTTCCCACCTTCTGTCTCTCTGTGTTATCCAGGTGATTCCTTTGGTTTTAACCATCCTTATCAAATCTCTTTCACTTTGCTGGGATTATTCTCCTAGACTAGATAATCTCCTATTCAACAGATTCAAAGGTCTGTTTTTGTTAGGAACCTCGAATCTATTCTTACAGCTGGTAAGAAAATAGTGTAGAAACTTATTCTCTGAATAACTTGAACGTGTTCTTAAAATCAAAGCTGGCATGCTAGATTATGTAGCTGATTTTAAAGTCTGCAACAGAGCAGCAGCAGCAACCTCAGTTCCATGACTGCGAAAGAAACCAATGTCCATGTTTTCTGAGTGTCTGCTCTCTCCCCAGTGTGTTGCTGCCCCAGCACACTGCCCTGCATCCTGCTGGAATGAGCAGCCCTCTATGTGCTGAAGCAATACAGATCTCCACGCTCTCCTCCCCTGCTGTGTTTCATTTTGGTTTTGAAACTTCTTACTTAGGCTGCTATCTGAAGGCAGTTTCAATGCATGGGGTATTGTGGGCTCTAATATTGGTGGAGGTGGGGAGGAATAATGAGAATAGGGAGGGAATAGGTCAAGGGGTATGTCCTTCTACTTCTGGGGCAGAACACTCTTTGTCTCTTCCAGCCACTTACTTAGAACTTCTCCTGGATTGCCCAGATTTATCTAGCTGGTTTGAGGTGGTGTTTTTTATCTGTTAGTTTGTCTTATGTACTTGCCACTTTTACTTGTTATAGGATTTTGCCAAAAGGCTTTCTTTTGGGACCAAAGCTCTTCCTCTTTTCACAGTTGTGGGTTTGGGTTTTTTTTGCCTATCCAAGCAAGTTTTCTCTGGTTTCTCAGTTTCCTTGGAAATCCACTGTGTTTTCTGCTTAATGTAGTGAGCTGTTTGTTGAACTGCTACAGCACCTTTCCCAAAGCAAACATTATTGCTTTAAAACCATACTGGCATTCTGCTGACTGATCTCTTCTGCTCTGTAGTGCAGACCTGCGAGGTTTGTTTCAATAACCATCTTTTGTGCATCTTTTGTATATATCAGTAAGAACTAGCCCTCACTGGATCAACCCTTGAACACTACATCTGTAGGTGTAGTTAAGAGCCAGCTTTAGTTGAGAGCCTTCTAAGTACAGTTACTTGATTTCCTCAGGCTTAACTTTTACTGTGTTCTCACAATACCAGTAAAAACTCAAATTCTTGGCGATGTTCTTCAGCTTTTCCTTGATTCTGTGCTTTTTTTTCAAATTGTAAAATTTCTTTCTTAAATGCCTTAATTCCTCCTTCAATTTTTTTTGAGCATTCAAATGGTTACTATAGCTTTTTTCTTTAGTGTTAATAAATTCTTTCATCTTCCCTACATTCTTTTCTTTTCAATAAAAATAATGTTCTGTCCTCTTTTTCTACTTTTTCAATTGTAGCAGTGTGAACTGTTACTCATCTGTTTATTTCTTTCAAATTAAGCATAGGTAACATCATTCCAAATTCTCCTCCTGCTCAAAAACTGCTGGTCTGCAAGAATTGGACTGCAATTCCTCGCACTCTTGAATAGCATTGATATACTCTTGTTTCCCTCTTCAAGTTCATAGATTAGCGGTTCTTCATCTTTGGAGAATGCTTATTTTGCTCTCTAAATTGATATGACTCAGAAAGCTATTTCACCAGGCTCTTTTGTTCCTCCCATTTTACTCCCAGTAGCTAATTGCTTCATTTTTTGCAACACACTTTGCATCATCAACCTGCAGACAAAGCTTTCTCTAAACCTTATCTTTTCCAATAAACCCTGAAGAGTCTTCTAGAAATGGTTTCAAACCATTACAGCTGTTACCAGCTGTCAAACTTCAAAAAACTGCAAACAGATGTTTCTTTTTTTCCTTTACAACCAGCTCTTTTCTAACACCAAATGATTATTTTTAATAATATTTTTACAGATTAATACCTTCCTGGGATAGGCATATGTACCTTATTGAAAGAATATTTTCTTTTTACCATCCCTGAGTAACAAACAGAGCAAAATAAGAGTCACTGTTAGCTAAAGCCAAATAAAGTTATCATATTAACCTCTAAAAAGAGGTATAATCAGCTGTTCCCTTAGTCTCAAACTCAGACTGCTTCCATCTAACATTGTTGCCTTGAGAAATACAAAACCCCAGAGACAGTGGAAAAGACTTTTTCCATTGGGTAGGAAATGATGGAGGCAAAATTTGTGGTTGCAGTGACTTCTTTGTACCCTCTGTGAATTGTGATGTAAAGTTGCTCTGTGAAACAGGCCTGTGCATGCTCAGTGTTGTGTCACTAGATGTGAAGAAAGGAAGGCACTGCTTGAAAAGTATACCATGGTTCTGAAACTGATGCTGAGCTACCCAGTGCATTGTAAATGAGCAAGGTGCATATGCCCAGTGCCCTTAGATTATTCAAACTAGCTCTTTATTCATTGTCATCTCAAGTGATATACAGTAAATACTTTCTACATCAGCCCTTATGAGGACACCTCTTTGAGGTCTCTGCAAACACAAGCTGTGCTTTAGGTGTGATATCTTTAACAACATCTCTTGAAAGGCAGCTAAATCCAGACCTGTTCTGGGGAATAAGGAGTTGCCCTAGAGCACAATTATATCTTGTAGTATAATTCCATTTCTCTAAGTTATGGTTCCTTAGAGAGCATCCCAAGAATGGACAACAGTGTGACAAGTTCATCTTACCATCCAGGGGCACAACTGCCTCTCTTCCACAGGATTTGCAGTCTTTAAGTTGTTGGAAGGCAAGAGGGAAGAGCTACTGCCCCTCCTTTCAGGGAGCATGCGGGAACTGCCAGTAGAGTAGTATTCCTTGATGACAGCATCCAAGAGAACTAGTTGAATACTAGCAAACAGTTTGCAATGAACACGAGTTGACTTTTGGCAATAGTCCTGAACAATGTATTTGGTGAAAACCATTTTGTCATCTGGGGGATTAAAAAACCTGAGACTACTTCTTCAAGAGAAAGCAGGTTTAAATTGATATAAATTTACCAAGGAATTTTGGGGCCCATGTCTGTTCTTCATGTCCCTGGCTAGATGTATCAGTGGGAATAAGATGCTTATAACTCAGGAATGATCAGGCCCCATGGGGTTCTGGGGTTTGTTTCACATGTCTACAGGAGCATTATGTACTTTGACGATAATCATTAACTAGACTGTGCATTTATTTTTCCTAACAGGTAACAGCTTCAAGAAATCAGAGTAAGTCATGTACACAAATGGAACAATCAGTATTTCTAGGAATATTCAAAGAAGTTAATGCCATCGGATCAAACTGACACATTTATAGAATATATGGTATTTAATGAAAAGCTGTTCTCTAGGAGTTGAACTGCCTTATTTGATACAACTGATACAGGTAGACCAAAACAGCCCTAGAAATCTTCAAAAACACAGGCTAATGGCAGCAAAATACGGTCTATCTTCTGAAAATGTTGTTGATACTCAAATTTATCTTTCTTCAGTACTTTTATTTTGAGGAATGAGTCTTTTCAAGAACTTTAATCAGTCATGATTTGTTTCTCTTAAAGCTTAACTGTTAGACTTTAGCTCACATCATTAGAACTCAGATATTCAGATTTAAACATAGAATTCTAGTCAGTTAGAAGCTGAAATGACTTAGAGACCTTGACCTTCAGCTATAATCTGAGATTTGAATGGGGTTAAGAGCTTCCCTCTTCCTAGGACAGCTCTGTGACAGACTGGCCATCCTAACGGGGGTTGTAATTTGTGCCAGCTTTCTGACACAGTGTACGCAGTCTGAGAACTACTAGAATGAGGAAGCAAGAGCATCTCTTAATTTTTGTCTTTGTCAGGCTGCCCATCTCAGACAGCACCAGCCCAGTATTCAAGGTCTACCATGGTCCTGTTCCCATTCCCTCTCTGTCCTAGAGAAAGGGCAAGCCAACAATTTGGATAGTGGGTCTTTCTCTAACTGACCTCCAAGAACCTACCATCCACATTATAGCAACAGTGTTTTGAGGAGCTGCTTATGAAATAAAGCAAAAGATTCAGGTCATTTTAACGTAATCTCTGTTCTAGTCCCTGTCTAAAATTTAAAAGATCCGTCAAATCACTGGTTCCAAAGAAATATGAAAGAAACAGCTCATCTCTTAAAATTCTGGGCAAATGTCTCAAATGAAATGTAATTTCAGAGAACTAACCAAGAGACTAAAAGAATTAATGTAAAATCTTATTGTTTTTTCTAGGAATTTCTATACATATGAAGAACCTTTCATAGAGAAGAAAAGTGAAAAGTGAGTTAATTTTGATTCTGTGTACTGTCTTTGCATATAGAACAAAATGTGTGCTAAAATGCAAGTTTATAATTTTATGTTTTCTGTTCTTGAAGGTCATCGGAAAAGAAAGAAAACAATATTCGTGTTGGCTTCTTTCAGCTGGTAATGAAAGCAATGACTATAAATATTTTATGTGTATTATGCTGCAGAATAAGTGAGAATAATCTACATGGTTGTTTTGGGCAATAGCTGTGACTAAGCCAAACTTTCAAGGATTAAACCATTTGGCATGAAATCCTGCCATTAAAGTCAATGGGAATTTAATAGAACCATTTGTCATTTTGTCAGCTTGGTATTGATTATCAATATTTGTGTCATCACTGTCTATTAAACATATTATATTGAACCTACAGGTAGATATGGGGAAAAGAGTTAAGATGCACAGTAGGAATCTAGGTAACCTTCATTCATTCTTATTTCTGCCAAAAAATTGCTGTGTGATATTTGGCAGATAATTCAGCTTGTAATTACTCCATGGGTATTGGAAGATTTGGTAACTATAGAAACTTAGGAATGCACAATACCGTATGGTATGTCTAGCCTATGATGGGTCTTGGAAAACCACAGGGTGTATTGAAATTTTAAAATTAATGTAGTAGAGAGATGCCCAACCCAGCAGCATGCAGCTAAGAAGTTTTATTACTTCAATTTTTCATGTAGTCTAGGCAATAAGCCTGTAATGTGTCCAAACTAATACGGTCCTCACTGTAGTAGTGGTCTAGTGCAGTTACATCCATGTGGCTTGTACGCTACCTGGCTAAGTATCTCAGCTCTTGGGTGGAGAGAACAGTCTGTCCACACAGAGGACTATGTCTGTCAAGCAGAAGGGGTTTGGATTCTGTAGCCTGTTTTGCACAGATATTTAACTCCTAAAGTGCAGTACGTTTGCATCAGATGTGCTGAGAGATCAGATACCACATATCTGTGCATTTTCTGTGTGTTTTTTTTTTTTAATCAAGGGAATTCCTAGACTTCTTATGAGCAAGGTTTGCTATGGTTTTGTTCTAACTTTTTTGTAAAAAGACCTTTTATTTATTTCTCTTTTGTGTTAACTGCCTTATTTTTCCCTTTCTCTTGTTGCTGCCCTAATGTCTCTTTTCCATATGCACTCCAAATTCCCAACCTTTCTTCTCTTCCTCACGTTATAGCACCTACGGAACCTGGACAGGTTCTTCAGCAGGCTATGATTCCTCTTCACATTCCTATTTTTAAAATACATAGCATTTGATACTGATATTCTATAGGGACAGTGTGATCTGTATATTTACTCATGACTTTAACCTGACTTCACACAATCATGACAAAGGGAACTTAAGTCACTGTATCTTAGCTGAGTCACCAGCTGCTTGTGTGCATGCTCTTGGCCCATGGCAAATGTAAGGTAATAAGACTTAGCTCTATCCTTTTTCTACTGCATGCTATGTCATATTTCTATACATTTCTCCCAGATTAAAAGCCAATGCACAATTGCCTGGCTCAGCCAACATGTTTTAGAATGTTAATTATGAGAACTTGCTCTGAGAAGTTTAGCTGGCTTTCTACCACAGCCTACCAGACTTTTGAGAAGTTGGCTAACTCTATTCAGAGGCTCTATATAATGCCCTAAGGCTTCTTCCTCCCTTCCCTCTCCCTCTGTCCCCACAGGAAATCTGCAAAGCAGTCTATATATTATGAATAGTAATTATAATTCATATATTTTAGGTAGCTTCTAGAATGATGATATGCGGAATGATTTTGAGCTATTAATGTTATATAATACATTCATTCACATGGTCAGATTCTGCTGTCAACTAAAAGGGAGCTCAAAAATTTATGAAGCTGTAATCACAGGTGCAATTAGATTAGACTCGAGAGAGAGATTTGTCTTATTTCTGTATTGAAGATAATTCTGAAATTTAAAGAGAAGGATTTTGTATCTGATCCACCTGATTATTGCAACCAACATGAAGCCTGCCTCTCAGCAGAAACCATATTTTTTTTCCTGTCTCTTTAGTTTCGATTTTCTTCATCTATGGAAATTTTAATGATGGCTGTTGGTAGTTTCTGTGCTATTGTTCATGGAGCAGCCCAGCCAGCTGTGTTGCTTGTGTTTGGTGCAATGGCAGACACGTTTATTGAATATGACATTGAAATGCAAGAGCTTAAAGACCCAGGCAAGATATGTGTAAATAACACCGTAGTGTGGATTAATGGTACTATTCATCAGAATGAAAAGAATGCCACAATAAGATGTGGGTAAGTATTAGATGTATTTGTTTCTTTTCCTTTGTTGTTATGGCTTGTCAGAGAATGTATTGCTAGAGAAAGTCCGCTTCAGCCTTTAAACCTTATATTTTCTATCCATAAGGCAGAAAAGAGGGATGGTTTTTGTTATAGAGTCATATTTCTGAGCTGGAGATATTACCTGGAGGGAGAGAAGGTCGGCTTGGGTCTTGGTCTTTCAGCTGTAGATGTCAGTGAGGATATTCTTTGATGATGATTGTTTTAATAACAGATGTGTCTGCTACACATCTGACTTCATTAATCTGTTTTCTCTGATGACACTGTAGGTAATAATGACTTCTGGTCATTTTGGTTAGGACTTAGGGTACCCATAGGTGCCTGCTGACTTCTGAGCAAGTTAGCTAAACTTTAGTCATTGAAGAGAAATGAGCGCTTCTAGGATGCAATTTATCTCAGCTTATGGGAGATGTCTAAGGCAGGTCAGATGAACTGCCCTATAAGAGTGCCTGTTTCTTTCCATTAACTATAATAAATGGAGTCTAGATGATTCATTCAGATACAGAGATCTGTCAAAGCCAAATTTGAACCTGTAACCTTTCCTAAGGCTCATTTTTCAGTGCATCATTCTAAGAGTTTTCTAATCTGAGTGACGTTTAATTAGATATTTAATTAGAGCTAAAAGTTACTTGTCTAAAGGTCTCTGAAATTCAGAGCACATGGGAAGTGATTCGCATTCCTAGATGTCGGTGACTGGGGCCAAATTATTTGCTCCAGGCTGTCCAAACCAGCCCTCTGATATGGGGCTGGGAGATAGAATACAGGAATTGCTGCAGATCTCTGTTCCTCTGAAGCAGCAACTGTGCACCAGGCAGGATACACCGGAGCATTAAAAATGGTACTGGATATCTGTGTCAGGCACCTGAGTTGTTTCCATGATTGTTTTTTGCAAGAGATCGGGTCAGGTGCGTAGTGTTCCCTTTTGGCTTAAAATTTCAGTGTACCAAATTCTGGGTAAATGGAATAAAATTTGCTGTCTGCAGGATGTTTTTAAAAAGTTGCCTAGAAGCATAACCAGTAATGACCTGAGATTCCTATTTCAAAGTAATCTAAATGCAATAGCAGCGACTCAATGCCCTTCACTGATATTAGAAGTAATTTAATACTCCTACTTGAGCTAAAAGAAATGATCACATCAGGTTAGCAAGCTTATGGTACAAATACTTGAATTGACTTCAGCAGCCCCCATTTCTCTCTATAAAACATTGTTTAAATCTGATTGTTATTAGTTGGTATAATAGCACAAAGCAAGTGCATTCAACATCCAATGAAAACTTGTTAGGCAGCTCTTCCTTGAAACAGGAGTGTGCAGTCTGGTGGGGTTTCTCAGGGGCTACAGGGCTGCTCCAAGAGGGCAGAGTGTTTCCTGGTACCTGCCAGCGCCCTGCCCCGGTGCAGCAGGCAGAGCAAGCAAACCAGCCACTGCTAGCGATAGCCTCAGTACTGGGAAATAACGCCTCAGCAAAACAAGCTGACTTGCCAGCCAGTGGGACTCTAACTTGAAGAAACACCAGATTAGAAATCTGTGAGAAACTTAAAACAGTATTGCTTATTTATTTTTTTTTTCCTTTCTTTTCTTTTTTTTTTTTTCCAGGCTGCTGGACATTGAACAAGAAATGACCAAGTTTGCAGCTTACTATGGAGGAATTGGTTGTGCTGTACTTTTGTTAGGATACCTCCAAGTCAGTATTTTGTTCCCTATTTTGATTTCAAATTTTAAATCACTAAATGAAGACGTTTATAAGAATTATGTTGTCTTTAACTGCTTAGTCAGCTGCCCATCTGAGCAGAGCAGATGCTTTCAGTTCTCATTCTATTGGCTGTAATTGGTTCACTCTGGCAATCTGAGACCTCCTTGGATTTGTGCATGCATACCTTTGTACAAGGATACATTTTACCCAGTGAGATGAATGCATGCTGCTCCTTTCAGACCACAAGAAATACTTGTTTAAGTGTGGTTACTATGAAAACCACATGCCCTCCCAAAATAATAGCTGAAGGGCATGCAGATTCTCAGTAGGCATCTCAACTGTGTTGAGCCCCGTGTTTCTATTGTAGAGATATTACAGACTACTACTAGCATAAAGCTAGTGTTGGAGAAGAATCATACCCTACATATTCTGTAGTAATAGGTCAATCCTTATGACTAAGACAAACCACAAGCTTGGATGATTCCTGCATAATCTGCTAAAGAGCCCACTGCTTTTGAAGCTTTTTATAATTGGAAAAATCACTTGCCATTCGCCTTCCTAAAAACTATCCCAGAGCTTTGTTGAAGCAGGATGGCTGCCATCCTTATATTACTTACAGCTGTAGATGGAAAAATTTTTGTCGGTATGACATTCATGTAACAACATGAGGAATTTAACTTGCATCTCCTCTCAGCCTATCAGAACTGAGACAAATGTTTCATCCAGAGGCTTTATAAAATTGTTGCATTATTTAAAGATCAAAGGCATAAAACAACTATCCTGTCTGTGTAGCTAGAATATATTTTACCTGAATAGTAATTTTATCAGTAGCCAAATTGCTCTTTCCCATTTTAGCCAAATTGCTTTTTCCCATTTATTGGGAGTAGAGAGACTTTTTATTGCAATTTATAAGCCATATTATGCTCTTCCCAGATCTGCTTTTGGGTTATGGCTGCAGCTCGTCAGATACAGAAAATCAGGAAAGCTTATTTCAGGAAAGTAATGCGAATGGATATAGGCTGGTTTGACTGTACATCTGTAGGAGAACTGAACACCCGAATTTCTGAGTAAGTAATCTAGAAAAAACATATGCTACAGGGAACATTTTGCACTTTTCCCAAACACAACAGAGTGCCAATGACTAGGCATTTGACAAACACCTTCTAATATAAAATACAGCTATGTTCCTGGGAGCGGGGACAAGGCTGATTATCTCCCCCATCTTCAAACTGAGTGCCATAACTGTTAAGCCACAATTATTTCCCTTGTCTATCAGTAAATGTAGAGGGGGTGGAGGGTTTGGGTTTTGGAGTGTTTTTTTTTTGCCAGCCTGTCCTATCCTTCCCTTCTCCTCTCGTCCCTAGTCCTTTCAGAGTAATCAATAATTTGGTTGCCGCTGCACACTCCCTTGAAGTTGGAAATGTGGGTTTGAGCCCTCTCCCTCTTCCCAGAAAGGAAAATTATATTAGGGGCACACTTTGCTTTTGTTGGCTTTTCAAAGAGAAGAGTGAGCCTTGCTTAATCTTCTGCTAAAGAAGATACAAGCACCTACCTTTAGAAAGGGACCCAAGGCAGACAGAGAAACCTTCTTATCCTGGGTAACCATTTAGCCCGGACGGAGTTTAAGGCTTGCTCCTTTTCTCGGTAGTTCCTGTTTACAGGCTGAAGGCAGCTGCGAGGTGAATATGCAGACTCTAGATGGCTCCCTGTTCTCGGTCATGCCTGTATAGTAGTAGTTACATCTGCAGATGATTTTTCTGTAGTTGAAGGGGATTTTATTTGCCTTTCCCCACTGCCCAGAGGTATCTATGACTTCCTGTGGTGTTCTTTTTATGAAGAATAAATGCCAAGTGTAAGTCACTGTGAAGAATTTCTCTGGCAAAAAATAGGAACCGAGCATGTATTTGTCTAATAACACTTAGTTCCCTGTTTTTTTGAACAACATTGTCCTGTGCCTACAAAAAGCTTCCTGACTGCAAAAAACAGTCTCCAGAAGAAATATTAACATGTTCTTCAACTCAACACTCCTAAATTTTTCAATAGAGGACTATAATTTCACTTGATATATCAATGAGCTAACAACTTTGCACTTTAAACCTCAACACCCCTTGCTCCTATTTATTCCAGGAGTTCCTAGTTCTTCTGATCTCAGGGGTAACATAGTAGCCAAGAGTGACAGCAGTATGATGACTGTTTTGCTTTAAGATATTTTTTCTGTGTTGGCAATGCATAAGAGAGAACAAATGAACTCTGGAGCTGCGTAGGGGTCGAATGATGTTAACTGCTGCACCCCTGTTCCTCATGTGATAGAGATGTCATGTTTTCTCACTGCCTCCAGTGATAAAGTAGCCCTCCCAAGTTTTCCCACTCTCCCTCCCATTTAGAGGACAAACTATCTGATAGGGTGGAGAGAGGAATCAGGAGGTGGTGGAAGGTAGAACTGGAAGAGAGTTACAGCCCTCCCTTTTCCTGCCCCCTCAGCAAGACGGTACGGTATATTCTCAGTGCCCCATGATGGGAGGGATGCCGTATCATCTACACCGTTTTTCCATTATCAGCTGCATCCAGGTGGGATGTCTCCACCCCCTTCTATGAATAAGCTGGGGCACAGAAGCAAGAACCCGCTAGTGAATGAGTCTGCTGACAGGACATATTTTCCTGGGAAAAGAAAATATCTTCTCTGCAGTATAAATGCATAAAAGCCTTCTGCCATTGCAAAGGTGCCAGGTTTTCTCACTGTAGCCCAGAGTCTCTAGAAGGCGTGATGGTGGAAAGAATAGGGGTGAGGAAGGGCCCTCTCCAAGGGAAAGCAACTAACCCAAATATGGCCAAGACTGCAACACAAATGAAAGATATGCTCACTGATCTTCTGTTGGTTTTTGTTGTGTTTTTTTTTTTTTTCCAGTGATGTCAACAAAATTAATGAGTCTATTGCTGACCAAGTAGCAATCTTTATCCAGCGCTTAACCACCTTTGTGTGTGGATTCCTACTGGGTTTTGTCAGTGGCTGGAAATTGACCTTAGTTATCATTGCAGTCAGCCCTCTGCTTGGGGTTGGAGCAGCTATCTATGGCTTGGTAAGTGAATTGTGAGGGGTCCATGTTGAGGTATGATGAGGAAGGTCATGCCATAGAGAATACATAGGCTACAGCACTCCTTTGAAGTCAACAGAAGCAGATTATGGTCACAGCAGCACTGGGGATGTGGGAGCGGGGAGCTGGGCTTTGCTCCCACTTTGCTTGTTCTGATTCCCAGAAAAATATATCCTGCTTCTAAGGTAGGAGTGTAAGCATACCTTCTGTTGGGTCCTGTAGATGAATATTATGGTTGCTGAGATCAGAATCTGGCCTACACCTCCCCATTACTACACACCCACCTGGTTTAGACAGTTACTAGACACAGGGTCTGATTTATCTATGTAGACTAAGGGCTCCCAGAGATGATCAAGTTTAGGAGCTGTAAAATGTTTGAAAACAACTGCTCAAACTTACCTCATGCTGCTGCATCTTCTCCCAGTTGTTCCCATTCTGCTTCTCCGTCCGGTCTCTACCAACTCACTGTCACTGTGCAGAGGAAGGCCAGTGAAGAGGGAAACGGCAGGATCCTCTGCCCTCTCACCTTCTCTCCCACACCCAGCAGGGCTGGGCAGTTCCTGCTCCTCCTTTGCGTTCTCTCACGCTCTGTTCTTTGGTTGGGTTCAGCCCTTTGGCTATCTGACTTCTTCCACGTCAGGAACAGTTTGCTATCATTTTGCTATCAAACTTCTAATGTAACTCTGACTAATTTCTTGTCTTCCTGCTCTCTTTTAGCACCTTATACTGGCTGCAAGTAGATGACGTGGATAATGACTCAGTGTGAAGTGGGAGAGCAGAATCCTGGCAGGGAATGAAATAAACCCCCAAATGCCTCTTTCCTTCATTTCCAATTTCTTTATGTTTGTAATTTCCCCTCTTTCCATTCTTATTTCTCTGTCCCCATTTCTTTCTTTTCACATAACCACTGTTAAATGTTTTCTTACAAGCCTTTCCAGCTTGTCTTTTTTTTTTTTTTTTTTTAACCATAAAGAAAACAGACCCAAGGTCAATCTAGCCAGCTTTGCTGTCTCCAAAAATGGCTAATATAAGCCTGGGATAGGGTATCAGAAGAGAGGAAGAAAATAATCACACTACAATTTCTAGTGATATGTCATTCCCAAGCCAATGTACATGACTACATTTTCTTCCATTAATTTGAACATTTTTTTTAAGCATAAGTAAGCTTTTGGCATCCGGTGTGCTCTGGGCTGCCATGTAGGGGCCTGTTTGCTGTCAGCCCAAGAAACAAAGCACAGTGGTGGGCAACATCTGTTTCCGCCCTCCCCCATCAGTACTATTACCTCTTCTTCCTGAAGCTGGGCTCCACCACAGTGGCTAAAGGGCTGCTCTTGGCACTTAAGCTCCCCCTTCCTTCAGCCATGCACCAACCCTCAGTCTGCAGTCTGCTTTTAAGCCCAGTTAGCAGCAGAGAGAGAGGGAGGGAGGGAAAGCAGATGTTGTGAACTGTTCTTTCTAGCTTCCTGGAGCAGAGCTGTTGGCCAAGGGGGTAACTTCTGCAAAACATATGCTACAGAGGTATATGTCCTAATACTAGAAGACAGAAGTCTTCAAGTGTGCGCCATGCCTGCTTGGCGCAGAGGAGGTGACCTCGTGCAGCGCAGGCAGCGCAGAGAGCGCAGTGTGACAGCCAGCACTGCTTACTGCTGTCCTTGTCTGCACATACAGTTCAGGTGTTACCAGCATTTCTTACGCTTTTATAGGCTGTGGCAAAACTAACAGGCCGAGAATTAAAGGCTTATGCAAAAGCTGGAGCTGTGGCTGATGAAGTGCTCTCATCCATCAGAACAGTGGCTGCTTTTGGTGGGGAGAAGAAAGAAGTTGAAAGGTTTGTTTGGACAAATTGTAAGGTCTTCGATTTCTTTTTCCCTGTAGCAACGTAATGCTGTAATGTACTTCAGTCATGGCAATTAGTCTCCAAATTCTACAACAATCACCATCTGGTAGCTTCGAGAATTATATGCACGTATGTTACAGAAAATTAAGTTTCAAATAACATTACATATGCAAGCCCAGTTTCATAATTCGGTCAATCAGTGAAATAAAACATCAGCAATACTATCTTCAAGTCATTCCCACTTGTAGGAAAATACTGACAGATTTTCCCCGAAATATTGTCTGATGTATCACTTTTGCAGCACATCTGAATACTTTGGGTACTTTCAAGCTAAATAAGAGAACTTGTTCAAGCAAGACATAATGATCTGATGATGTTAAGTTGAAAGTTTCTCTTAAATTCATTTAAAACATGACATGGCTGTAGGACATGCTCTGAAGGATTGACCAAATTCTAAAATCCGATGTCACTGCTAAAACCCCAAACCCTATGGTGAGCTATCTGCAGTCAGTTTGGCTTTCCTTGTGCTTCTTACACTAGAACATAGAAGGATTTCATGATGTGGGAGCATTACTGGTTTTAAGCAGTGGTCTCTTACTTCAGACTGAGAGGTATCAACCTTATGTGGACCCTCTTTTAACTGTAGTACAGCCAGTCATTGAAGACGCCTAATTTTGTTGGTCTTCGCTAATTCTGAATTTTCTATGAAATTAATTTCATCCCCTTTTATTTTTCTCTCTTTCTACAGATATGATAAGAACCTGGTGTTTGCTCAGTACTGGGGAATTCGAAAAGGAATAATAATGGGATTATTCACTGGTTACATGTGGCTTATAATTTTCCTGTGTTATGCATTAGCCTTTTGGTATGGGTCTAAACTTGTCCTTGAAGAAGAAGAGTATTCACCTGGCACTCTTCTCCAGGTACCCATTTTAGCTTGATGCAACTTTTCTGGACTGTTTCTTAAAACATTAATTCTGGAACACATATGTAGGTTCTGATATCTGGTGACTCAGTGGTAACAAACACTACATGTGTCTTTTAAAGATCATTAGAGATCAGTATTCATATGGAAGTATATGACAGAATTGGATAAGATTAAAAAAAAAATCCATGTTTACTTTAAATATTTAAAATGCTGCCTACTGTGATCAGAAGAATGCTTTTGTTTGAGAGCCTGCTACACAACTGGCAGGGGCCTGAAACTAGCTTTTCCATTTTGTGGGTCAGCATGTGCCTTCTGGGATATTGGCTTCTCTGGCGAGCTTATTTGGTGAGGAAAAACCCCATATTGCTAAAGAGAAACCTGACCGAAGAAAGTTTTATCAAATCTAACCTCTCTCTCATGAGCAGTTTCTTTTCCTTTGAATGACTATTTTCTGTTGCCAATTGCCCTCCCAGCTATATAGATGACAAAGAACATGTAAACATATATGCTGATTAAAAACACATGTGGCTGCGGCTCCTGCATTGTATATAAAAACCTTGCTAACCTGCATGGCACTCATGCATCCACTTCTGCACAGTAGATCCTTTAGACACTGATGACATAAATGTAATAAAACCAACATCTACAGATATTTTGGTTATTTGCTTTAAGCCAGGACTGCCCAAATGGCAGGCTGCAGTCTAGACCCAGAGCAAATTTTTCCTGAACCTTGATAAATCCTGGGTGTTCTCATGAGACATCTATTTCTGATCTTTCTCTGCCTGTTGCACACCATGAGAGTTCCCAACCACCAGCCGCATGCAGTGCAAAACTTCCTGTGAAACGGAGCTTGGTAAATTACTCTGAGAACATTGTAAAATTGAGTCATTCTGTTGAAGGAGGATGTCCCTCACAGGAAATCATTTGCAACTGCTCTTGACACCAGTAGTAGATACGAGATAGTGCTGTGAAAAACCAAGTGAGCAATTTCCTTGCCTTGCAGATGATAACTATAGTTTAGTGCTTCCAAATGACAAACAGCAAACAGTGGGGAGTTACCCTGTAGCTGAAAAATTGCAGCTGTCAATGGAGAGATTCTCCCTTATGCTCCCCTTCTCCTCTCAGTTTCCAGTCAACTTTCTTGTACTTCTACCATACACTCCTAGTCTGGCAGGGGAGAGGAGGGGAAGATTTGTAGATACAAAACACTTCAATATGCTTTTCCTGGTCTCTTAAAAACTGTTGTGCACCAGCCATACTGCACTGAGATACACTGAGTGGTGCCTTCTCTTCTTCTATCAATTGTACAGAAACTACTCCCTCATGTTCATCATGGATTCTGACCTGCATATAACCTAATTGCTTTGGGATTCATTCACACAAGAAAATGAGTTTGTAGTAAAGCTGAGTATGAACTTATGGCACGATCAATACATCACAGTGTAGATGTTTGCAGCGTACAATACATCTTCCACTTTAGCCATGGGAATATTCTCAGCAAACATCACTATGGTGCAAGGGAAAACTGAGTCTTGTGTACCTTTATTTCTTTCTCAATGGTTGTGTTTCCTCATACATCTTGCCCATATATCCTGACTACTGTTTGTGTTACATTCAAAAGGCTAGCTGAGTCCTTCGTTGCTTCTTAGCTGAATTCTCAGGTATTGCCAAAGTGCAGCAAAGGATTACATACCAGTTCTCCTAATGCTCAGGGTGAATGTTCAAACTATCAGCCACAACAAAGCAAAAAATGGACCAAAAGCCTACACCACAGACATTATCCAAACCTTTATCAGCTGCTCTGCCAAACCACCTCTATAATTGAAAAACTAAGGAGGAATAAAGCAGAGTGAATTCTATGAAAAAAAAAAATGCTCATTCTGACAAGCACACCTTGGTATATTAGCACTGAGAAGAATAAGGTATACTTTAAATACAATGCAGCTCACTCCTTGCTGTAAAAACAGACAGTTAATGCACTTGCATGTGTGTGGTATACAAGTGGCACCTCAGTAAATTTACCTCTGTAAATATCTGGGTGCACGTGTTTTTAGGTCAAGGCAAACAGGAGATAAGTTGGTTTACGTCACCCTAGAAACAAAGTTGTGAAAGACAGTGAAAATCCTTTCTAAGATGCGTTTGTTTGCTTTCTTGTGGGCTGATTATGCTCATATAGTGAATCACTGCAGCTCAGCTGATACACAAGAAGTCATTAAGCCACTGTAGTTTGATTTGCCTGCCTAAGCTCTAAACTGTAATAAAAATGTGATGCCATATTTTGTTAATTTCTTTTTCTGCTTCTTCAGGTGTTCTTTGGTGTTTTAGTAGGAGCTTTAAATCTTGGCCAGGCATCTCCCTGTCTGGAAGCCTTTGCCACTGGCCGTGGAGCTGCAGCAAACATTTTTGAGACAATAGATAAAGTAAGTAATGCATGTCTAAGCTGTGTCACTTTGTAGTGGAAAAACAATTAAATAAGCCTCAAGCGGTAGTAGTTTTATCTGCTGTGTAAATGAGGAAAAATGAGTGCAATTAAAGAAAAATTGACCGTGCAATAGGAAGGTCTAGTGGCATGCACACTGGCTCATAGAGGGTGGTGAACAGATTTCTTAAGTGGCCTTTTTCTGAATAATGAAGTTTTACCTCAGCTACTGATGTTTCTTACTCTCATTTCTCCTCATGTATAATTACTGATCAGTGCTGGCCCACGGGAAGTGTACAGGCAGGCAGTAATAGTCACCTTGCAGCCAAACTTGCAGCAAGCTCCTAGCTCCCAGCCTCCAGATGGCATCAGAAGGTGTGGCTCCATTGGCATTAGTGGCAAAAGTGGCCTCTGTCACCTATCCCAGAGCTACTCCGTGTTAAAATGAGACCAAATGAGCACAGGTCACACAGCATAGATGTTAATCACAATATTATCTAGACAGACAGATACTAGAAATAAGGTTATTTGAGAAAGTCTGAGAGCCACTGGCCTTTATTGATGAGAATTCCTTTCTATACCTGTATAAATTTAGTGGTTGGCAAAATACAGCTGATTTCTTAGCAGTACATAGTATCTGTAAACACATTAAAATCCTGGTTGTCTTTTACAGACTACATAAGGGTATATCAAGAAGGTTAGAGGGGCTGTGGCAATGCTAATGGACTTTTTAGTAAACCTTCAATATTCTATAATAACAATAACACGTATGCCTTATAAATGCACTTCATAAGCTAAAGCTCTAAGGTAAACTGAAAAAGAAACAAGGGAAGTGGTTTTTAGAGAAAACTAAAAAAAGCACAGAGGAGTTGCAACAGTAAGAATTAATCACAAAATTCAAGATAAGGCTGAGTCAGATAACCTTAGGGTAAAAAAAGCAAGCTAAAGTGAGATTTCGCCTGTCGAGAGAAAGTGACAAAATTAGATCCCTCTGCTTGCTGCATTTGTAGATTTGTGATTAGACAGTAAATGCACAGCTCTGCCCTGATACAAATTTTTTTTTCTCACACTAAATTTGTAGCCATGCTGAGGTTCCCATTTACAGGATCAGTGAAACTTTTCTTCATAGCTTAGTATCTGAATTTAAGCAAGATATATTCCTAAAGAGGAATCAATCTTTTTGCTGTTCTTAACATCTTAGAACATACACATTTCTCATATTAAAATTCCCTTCAATCTGTTAGGCTACACAAAAAATCATGCACGTTTCAATTATCAAATATTGGTGTTGCTACAGTTTTAATTTATTCTGTTTTCTATGCTTCAAAAATCTATCCTTAGAAAATTTTATTTCTCTGTGATTCTTCAAATTTCTCTTAGTTCTCTGCTCATGTCTAGCCGTCCACAATACCCACAGCCATATGTGAGACCCAAAACACTTCGTGGGAAAACTTCAGATCAGAATTCCAGCTCTTAGGACTGGGTGTGCAAGGATCCAAAGTGGTGAAGCGTGCAGATTCGCAGCAATGAGTTTGTTGTTCAGTGCTGTAGGAGAATGTTTCTATGAGCGAAGTAGTGCCATTTTATTCCTGAGGAGTTGGCTAAATTAACTGAGTCAAAATGCCTCACTCAGTCAGCTATTCTGTTCCAGCAAAAACTGGCTGAGTGGCTGACTGTGGTAATTGCAGTGAGCCTAAAATGAGAACAGGGTGCGTTCATCTCCCCTGTACTACCCACCGGTGACAACTTCCCCATCACTGTGGCCTTCAGTTTCACGTTCTTTTCCTACTAGCCCTGGGGCAGAGCCTGCTGCTGGCTCAGTGCAGCCAAGTGCTGTTCAGACAGAAGTACCATGGGTTTGTGTGGTATTGGGAATATTTATCTACTGCAGCAGTGTTGGCTGTTTAACAGCAAATAAATAACACAATAAATTCTATCCTAGAAACCCACCATTGACTGCATGTCAGAAGATGGCTACAAGCTGGATAAAGTACGAGGTGAAATTGAATTTCATAATGTAACATTCCATTATCCCTCCAGACCAGACGTAAAGGTAATTATTCATCATCCATCCTGTGAACACAATTACTGTAAACAATCAAAATATCCTGGTTCTTCCAGCAACTTCTAGATTTTCAGTAGAGTGTGTTTTCCAGAAACCAGACCCTCTGTTTAAAAGTAGATTAGATTAAATGATTCTTCTGTTAAAGGGTTCCTCTACTTACTATTCTGCTTATTTTACCATTCTGGCATATCCGCTGCCATACATATTCCTTGCTGCTGAACATAAACTCATAGTAATTTCAGACAAATTCACCTGCATACAGCTTCTTTTTCATTCAATTATGCACTTGTATCAACATGTGCTAGGACAGGACACAAAGTAATAAGCTGAACAGTGCAAGGAGATTTTATAAAACTCTTCCATTACCCTGGGGATGTGCCATGTGACCCATTAAAATGCTAGGTAAAGGTACAGGACCATTGGCTGTATACCCCATTATTTCTCTACTACTCTGTTTGAATTGACAAATTCTCCTTGGAAAAGCAAATTATTGCACAAGTGAATGCGTGTTATTGCTTCTAAAGACAGAAGCATGTGAAGTATCAGATTTTTCTGCATAATTTCACTTTTACAGTCTTAATAGTTATGCTTTAAAAGGCATTCATAATAAATGTGCAGTGTTCATTAAAGGGGATTTATTGTAAAGTTCTCCAGTGGTATTAACTTGAATAGTTTTTAATGAGGAACAACAGGAACAAACAACAATCAAAATCTGCCTGTCATGGAAAACAGTGCTCTGCATTTATAGACTTTTCAAACAATGTAAAAACATTTGGCTTTCTTTTTCCTTTTTCTTCATAATATTTTTCTGAATTTTGTAAAATTGCTTTTAATCTCCACTTGAAGGTACAGAGTATACTCACTTGGTTGTATGGCTGTGAAGGAATTAGAATGGATAGTTCTTTTTTTTTTTTTTTCTCCAGATTTTGGATAACCTTAATATGGTTATTAAAGCAGGGGAGACTACAGCTTTTGTTGGAGCTAGTGGAGCTGGAAAAAGTACAACAATACAGCTCATCCAGCGCTTCTATGACCCCACTGATGGCATGGTGAGTGTACCAGTCTGGAATGTGTTTCTCTAGCCTTAGGGACTTGAAGAATGACATTGTTTCTTCTCCAAGGTGGGAAGGAAGACTCCTAACTTTATTGTCTTTTTTTTTTTTTTTTTTTAATTAGCAAGTTATTCTTTTGTGCATTTCAGGGGAATGCTGAATTATCAAAAATAATTATGTGAAGGAGAAAAACTGTTAGGAGAAAATGCTAAATCTGAGTAAAAAATACGCCTATAGATATGATAATTCAGGAGTGACAAATCATTTTTCATTCTGGAAAACACAGTATTGAATGTTTTGTCATTATCCCATGATATTGCTTTAGTATATGCAATTACCATTTAGTAATGGATTGGCTAAGAATACGAATTACATCTATTAACAGTCTCATTCCATTTATGTGTTCCTAGTTGGCATAAATCACAAACATGGTGACCTGTATTTGAATGTATAAAAGACAAAGAACCAATTTATTGTAAACATATAATCGTAATTTTGATTATTACTTTCAACCTGGTTTTATTTCTGGGGCCAAGCAAAAAGAAGTATTGGGAAATGAAATAAAAGAGCACAACTCTTAGGCCCAGGAACTAGCATATACTACTGCCACTGCATTGTGTTTTTTACATATGAGGGCTGGGTTTTACACTGGTCATGGAAACGCAGCATCACAGGCCCTTCATTTCTATTGTGTCTTTTTTTGCCTCTGAATTGGAGACAATGTCCCTGACTTTTTTCCTTTTTTTTGTGTCCATGTTTTAATTGGCGTTTGTAGATTACCCTGGATGGCCATGACATTCGTTCCCTTAATATCCAGTGGCTACGCTCACAGATTGGTATTGTTGAACAAGAGCCAGTGCTGTTTGCCACCACGATTGCAGAGAACATTCGCTATGGTCGGGATGAGGCTACCATGGAAGACATAATCAAAGCAGCCAAACAGGCCAATGCTTACAATTTCATCATGGACTTGCCGCAGGTATGCTGTGCCTTGTAAAGTGCTTGGCAGAATTTGATGGAAAAATAGAGAATCCTTTTGTCCCTCCCCCACATGCAGCCGTTTGTGCTCAGGTGGAAGGGCAGAAGATTAATACAGACAGCAGGCAGCAACCTATCCTTTGACTAGAGTTAATGAGGTCTTACTATGTGTAAGTCACCAAGTTAAAAATAAAAACACAAAACAAGAATTAGTTCTTCAAGAATCATATGCACAACGTTCAACATCATGGTAATAATCATATAATGATTTTTAAATGTGTATTTTTCATGCTGTTGGAGAGCTGTTTCTGCTCAGGACAAAAGCCATTTAGATCCCAGACTCTCACTAGCCAGCATATGTTTCTGAGCTGTCTGTACTGATCCTCACAACCTCATCTCCTTGCACGAGCTCTGTAAGTTATCTGGAGGTTCCCTCGTCCCCGGTTCCTTCACTTATGATGACAGGGCTTTGATCAGTCCTATGGTATCATCCTTACTAAGCCCATATTTGATGGTACTGGGCTGTTTATTTTTCTAGAATGTTATTTTGCCAAGTAGCTTCTCAAAGGGACATATTACAACAGTGAACCTGATTGACAGGATTCAAGTACCATTAACTAATGTCAGTATGTACTTTTTATCCTCCATCTATGCACGTACCATTAACTAATGTCAGTATGTACTTTTTATCCTCCATCTATGCATGTACCATTAACTAATGTCAGTGTGTACTTTTTATCCTCCATCTATGCGCTTCCAGGAAACTATTCATAGAACGACTGTGTAAAGGTCCCTGTTTATTTCCTGGAAATGGAGGAATAAACAAGATTTGGCTCTAGATGAATATAATTATCCTGGGTCTTGAGACGCTAGGCTTTATGTATTTATTTAATTCTTGACCTGAACCCAGTGCCACCAGAGTACGATGTCCATGAATCACAGACACAAGTGTTCATGAGTCACAGGAGATCAGCAGACAAGTCCAGCTCTGTGGAAAGTTTGCTGGTGAGTCATCTGATGGAGAGCAGGCAGGTGTTTCCTCTCCATTTCAGCTTCTGCTGATATAGTTGTTTTGAGTCAGACCAGAACATTTCACCTTTTTATCAGTACATACTTTTGGTTTGGGGTTGGAACCCCAGTTCAGGCAAAATGATGTTGTTCATTATGAAGGAAGTTATTTCATCAGCTCTCCTTTGCATTTGGTGCACTAACAATGTTTCTGTTTTTTAAGTCTACTTCCAGAACAAATCTGAGAGACATTTTACCAACGTCTTCACCAGAAGCTTAACAGACTCTTTCGCTATCTGTTTCATTTTCATTTTTTTCCCTCACACAGCAATTTGACACTCATGTTGGAGAGGGTGGAAGCCAGATGAGTGGAGGTCAAAAACAGAGGATAGCTATTGCTCGAGCTCTTGTGCGAAACCCAAAAATCCTGCTACTGGATATGGCTACGTCAGCACTTGATAATGAAAGTGAAGCTATTGTCCAAGAAGCACTTCATAAGGTTTGCTATAGTATAGCATAAATCAGACTTAAAAGGGTAGAAATTATTTTTAATGCACTCTGCAGAGGTTGCTGCTGAGTTGCAACAAGCAGTGAGAAGCTTTTCTTAACAGCTGTTTCATGTGCACAAGTAAAACCTTAGTATTATTGACGGAACATAATTTTTTCTTACTTTGGGACATTAACAGAAATCTATAGGTCCCTTTGCTCAGAAACAGATGCTCATCTATGGGCTATGGATGGAGTTCAAGTCAAAGTCAAGTCAGCTGAAACCACTAGAAAGATTTCTATTGATTTGACAAAACTTTAGATTACATAGTGCTAGTTCCAATCAATTCTGCTTGGTGTTCTGGGAATGGGGCTGTTGTTGTTCCCTGTCAGGCTCGCCTTGGCCGCACGGCAATCTCGATAGCTCACCGCCTGTCAGCCATCAAAGCTGCTGATGTCATCGTTGGGTTTGAGCATGGAAAGGCTGTGGAGAGAGGAACTCACGAGGAACTCTTGAAGAGGAAAGGGGTTTATTTCATGTTGGTGACCTTGCAAAGCAAAGGAGACACAGCAGTTAATAAAGAAGAAACGGAAAGTAAGAATTTTGTTTTCTTTCAGAAAATGATGTAAAATTCCACAGAATGCAGATTATTTTTTTTTAATGAGGGCTAGTTGCTGCATTTTTTTTTTTTTTTCAACCTTTATGGCTGAATTTTAGTATTTATAGAAGTAATAGGTCTGGCCAAAGTGTTTTTACTGCATATGCACTGAATTACCTTCCTAATATAGATCTGCCCTGAAACATTAATTCTGACCTGCAATACCTGTCATTTTGTATCTCCATTTAGTGCCGTCAGTCCAGTCCTGCTGCATTTGAAATGCAAGCAAATTACAGAATGTGCTGAAACTAACCTATTTGTTTTACTAGAGGCAGATTTGAATCAAAGCTTCTGGAAATGGAGGTCTAATAGAATAATCTGTTGTATTTTCCTGAAGCATCATACGTGGTCACATCCACAGGGTAGTGGTCAACAGCTCAGTGTCTGGAATGAGATCGGTGACAGGAGGTGTCCCTCAGGGGTCCATATTGGGACCAATACTGTTCAATATCTTCATCAGTGATATAGACAGTGGGATTGAGTGCACCCTCAGCAAGCTTGCAGACAGCATCAAGCTGAGTGGTGTGGTTGACACGCCTGAGGGACAGGATGCCATCCAGAGAGGCCTGGACAAGCTCAAGAAGTGGGCCTGTACTCATAATGTTCAACAAGGCCAAGTGGAGGGGCCTGCACCTGGGTCAGGGCAACCCCCAGTATCAATACAGGCTGGGGGTGAAGGGATTGAGAGCAGCCCTGCCAAGACGGACTTGGGGGTACTGGGGGATGAGAAGCTGGACATGAGCTGACAATGTGGGCTCACAGCCCCAGAAGGCCAACCGTATCCTGGGCTGCATCAAGAGAAGCGTGGCCAGCAGGCTGAGGGAGGTGATTCTGCCCCTCTACTCTGCTCTGGTGAGACCCCACCTGGAGGACTGCGTCCAGCTGTGGAGCCCTCAGCACAGGAAAGAAACAGATGTGTTGGAGCGGGTCCAGAGGAGGGACACAAAAATGATCAGAGGGCTGGAGCACCTCTCCTATAAGAACAGGCTGGGAGAGTTGAGGTTGTTCAGCCTGGAGAAGAGAGAGCTCCAGGGGGACCTTATTATGGCCTTTCAGTACTTAAAGGGGTCCTACAGAAAAGATGGGAACAAACTTTTTAGCAGGGCCTGTTGCGGTACAGCAAGGCATAATGGCTTTAAACTAAAAGAGGACGTATTTAGACTAGATATAAGGAAGAAATTTTTTACAATGAGGGTGGCGAAACACTGGAACAGGTTGCCCAGAGAGGTGGTAGATGCCCCATCCCTGGAAACATTCAAGGTCAGTCTGGACAGGGCTCTGAGCACCTGGTCTAGTTGAAGATGTCTCTGCTTATTGCAGGTGGGTTGGACTAGATGACCTTTAATGGTCCCTTCCGATCCAAACTATTCTGTGATTCTGTGATTGGATATGGTTATATTAAAAGAAGAGAGCAATTACAGTTCTAAAATAGGGAAACAGTCTTTAGCAGTCACATCCCAAGTGAGACGGTCCTTAGGTTAATATTCTGTTAACTTCATCATGTCAAATACAACTATAAAACTTGTGGTACGTGTAGGTTGAGTAGCAAGATTGTATTACATTTTTGCTTTCTACAAATTATTCCAGTTATGACTTGGAGATGCTGCACTTTTTTGCAGAGCCACAGTGAACTTGGGTTGTATTCAATTTTAGCACAAACTGAAGAGCTCTATATACTATATTTTACAGCAGCAGAAAATAACGTAGTTGAGCCAAATCTTGAGAAAGTCCAGTCATTCAGCAGAGGAAGCTATCGGGCCAGTTTGCGGTGAGTCTTAAAAATGATTGTAAATCCCAATATGTTTCCAGATCTCTATACTTCATTCCACTATTCCAAAATCCCAATAGTGCTAATGAATCACTTCTCTGTATGTTGCGTAAAAGAGGGTGGAAGGGCTGCAAGCATTTTACTAAGACAGAGTTCACTTAGAAAGAAATAGCTTAGGTAATACGTTACTGATTGAAGGCCCATGGATAAATAGCAAGACTCAATTTTACTCCCCTTTCTATCCATAGTACTTTCTCTCCAATTCTGGTCTACTGTGTTAATGTTCCATTTTTAATATTACTACCATACAGCCATATATTTGTATTACCTAATGCACTTTCAGTCCGGTCACTTGAAAAATGATTTGCTGTGCAATTACTTGAGAAATCAATGCAATGTACAAGGACATTTTTATTATGGCTTCTACTTGATGAAGGTTAAAGCATTTTACAAGCCAGACTGTCTTGTAGCGAGACACTTATTATTTCTTTCAGGCAAGCCCATGTCAAACATATGCGAGTGAATACATCTCTCCTACATTACAGGGTTATGTTTTGTCAGGGATAGAGGTGGATTGTTTCAGCATCCTGTTTTGCTGGACTGAATTACTTGATAGTGACAGCGGTGAATTGACTTGATGTCTTAACAACTTGTGCAAATATAGGAGGATACACCACAATTTTGCTTAACAAATACAGGGTTCAGGGTACAAATAAGACAACATCCGAGTGGTGGGGTGCAATATGATTTTTAAAAGTATTTGTCTCTGTTGTGAGGTATTTTCTTCTCAAGAAGTTGAGAGAACATAGAAAAAGAAGGAAAAACTCCATGGGATTCCTTTGATTTGCTTCAGTGAATCATGATTTAGTTGATATGAAAACTGCACCTGCTTTGCAAGCAAGTGTTGTGTTACTGAGCTGTGAAGAACAGACCATTTCTAACCTCTTTACAGAGCTTCACTTCGGCAGCGCTCCAGGTCTCAGCTCTCTAATGTGGTACCTGACCCTCCATTATCCATTGCAAGAGATCACACAGAGTACATGAATCTTATGCCTTCTTATGAAGAAGATGATGAACAAGCAAAAAAGGTTGGGTCCAACAGTTTGTTATTAAATTTTCAACCGAACAGGTTATATTACTTGGTAATGATAACCCGTAGATACATGTCTCTGTTATAGGAGTTGTTGGCAGATACGTCTTCTTGGATTGATCCTTTTGTCTACTTAAACAAAACAACAGCTTCAGTTCTTATCCTCTGTGTAGACCCTCGGCTGCATTTTGATGGCTGTTATGCTTAGTGGTCCATATAACATTTCTAGAAGAGCATGACCTGTTGGTAAATTGTTGTAGATCAAGTTGAAAAAGTTGTATGCATAAAAGCTGAATTAACTGACAAAAAGCAAAATACTCAGCCTGTGAAATGTAATAGCCACTCAGTGATACAAATAACACTGCTTCTTGTTCAATAGAGAGTAAATTCACTTTCATCTCAAAATCATCTGAAGATTTGAGTAGAGACTCTCACTGCAACCTTACCCAGAACTGCAACACTGACAGTGTCCTTGTGCAATCAACTAGCATAGAAAATAAAGAAAACGTGCCTTAAAATTATGCAAAATTATGTAGGAATATACACAGTGGGTTTCCAAAGTGCTTACGAAGCTCCCTGCACCAATTTGCATGGCTATGGTTCTTCAGTGCAGAGCGCAGCAGTTAGAAGTCACTGTTCTTGCTATTGTTAAGCCTTTTCTGTTGATAAATAGAGGGCTTTAGTGCTGCCACCCTGGCACTAGCTCAGAAGGAAGATGCTTCCACCCATTCATCCTTGCACATTTCCAGCAGATAGGTCATCACAGTGTCTGTTTTGCCTGGCCATTTCCAGCCATGTGAACTGAGGGAGATAAGCAGGGCTCAGCACACTGAGTGTTACAAAAATTCTGCAAAAATCAAACTGCAGGGTAAGTTATAATTTGATGATGAATATTCTGCTCTTACTGGGAATAATTATGGGAATTCAGCATATAGTCTCAGGTTGTTTCACAGAAGGGAGGCATAATTAGCACGTATAAAGCCTGAACCCAGCTATCACTCTGAGATTTCCCTTTTCTTCATTATGTAGCATACCTGTTAATTTGATGCAGAGTCTGATCAGTGTGTTCACTGTGTTCACAATACTTTGAAACAATATTTAAGGCGATTCCATGAGTGACACAAAAAGCCACTTGTGAGGAAGAAGTCTTAAGTTCTGGCACTGGATATCGCATCACACCTCATCTGAAGGCAGCAAAAAGGGAACAGCCTGAGTTTCAGTGGCAGAAAATCTTAAACTGGTCGTAATTAACCTCTTAAATTGGAATCAGTAGAGCTGCATAAGGCATGAATCTCTCTCTTTTTCTCCAGGGACAGTAAAGGTAGTAATTTACGTAACCCTCTTGTGACTCCCTAGCCCTACAAAAGAGCTCCAGACAGCAGCCAAGATCCATCGCTGCCCTTTCCCATACAAAGGTAGAGCAGCTGTTTGGGGACTAGATGGCCATTTAACAGATTATGCCAACTCTTTCATCTTACTGTTAAAGGGAATACATTTGCTTCATAAATCCTACCTGGTTTTTTTTAGGAATCTCTTGTTGTGGAAGAAGATGTCAAACCTGTACCGTTTACCAGAATTTTGAAATACAATGCCTCTGAATGGCCATACATGGTGCTTGGATCTCTGGCAGCATCTGTGAATGGAGCAGTCAGTCCACTCTATGCTTTGCTATTCAGTCAGATTCTTGGGGTATGTTATGCTAACATTTTAAAGTGTATTTTAGCTCTGAAGCAGGGGGGAGTGAATGTATGATGCAGAACTTGACATGTTTTGGGCAAATCTTTATATCTCGTCAAGTAAATGGGGTTAGCCTTTTTGCCTATAAACAATTATTCAGTAGAGATATTTATATCACTGTCATCACACTATAATTTGAGCTCTTTGAAGAGTAGGCTCATTAGCATTTGTCATGTGTTCTTCATTATGGCTCTTCTTCACTTCCCAGGAACTGTTGGGAGTGGGTTTCTATACTTGCATACAGTTTATTTTAGATGAGACAAGGTGTACGTGCAGGTACAGTGGAGAGATACAGGCAGAGGTCCTTCCCTGCAGAATTTTATTCTACAGACTTGGCCAAGACTTTGAGAAAGCTTTGGATCAGATCCAAAAAATACTTCACTTTTTTGTTCATGTATTTCAGGCAGCGCTTTGCTGCTTGCTCCCTGCAGAATGCCCAGGGAGAGGTAGATAATTGTAACAGGGTTCATAGCTGCCAGCAAAATGGAGACTTGAATCAATAAGTTTGGAAGACAAGCAGGAAATAGGAATATGCTTTAAACCTTGGCATTCACTAAAACATGCATCACTATCAAAATCCACAGCTTTGTTTGAAACTTTTCAAGAGTTCAACCATAACTGTTTTTTCCTTCAAAAACTTGTTGTAATAGAAAGAGGATGCTTCCCCTTTTGTAAAACAGCTTTTTGGGGAAGCATTTTTCCCGTTAGTAGGAAACTGGAGGGCTGCCTGAAGAAATTCAGCTCTAATGCCTAGAAAAGTGTCCTAAATTTTCAAGAACTAGGAGGACAGAGAAAACCCCTCTATTGTTGTTGTTTCTTATTGTGTAAAGTAATGATGCATTCACTGGGAAGAAAATGGGGATACCAATATTGTTTTGCAGTTTGGGTACCCACCTGAGATAGGATAAAACTTGGGTTGTGATTCCCACATACTTGTTTAGGTTATGGTAGGTACATATGTGTGCAAAGAATATGACCTAAAGGGCAAACACTATTCTAGAAACTGGAGGTCCGAAATCTTTCAGGCAGGAAGGAATGATTGAATGAGTGCCACAGCATCTAAGCTACTGATTAGAAAATTGTTGAGAAATTGCTCCTAACAGTGGTGCCAGCAATCTATGAAAGGAAAGATAGACCTTTTGCTGTTTGGTTTAGGGTTTTTTTTGGGAGGAGTGGGGGTGCAGAATTGTTTTGGCTTAGACATTCCTCTCTGGGAAGTTACTCAGGACTTTGAATCACTTTTGCTTGTAGCTTGATGTTTGCTAGCTAAGATCCAGGGACGGGTAGAGCAAAAGACATTCTAGTCCCTGTTGATCCACTTAGTGGCTTTTGGCCAACGTGCTTGGCCTTTTAGCCATAGGTGTGCCATCTCCGAACACTTTTTGAGTGTCTAGACCTCCAGGACTGTAGCTTTCACTAGACTGCAGGTAAAACACTGCTATATGCATTCTGCAATAAGTCTAACCTTTGATTCCTTTTGAGAGAGGTTTTCTAGACACCGGGAGGTATGGGGCTGATGTCATCCTGCAAGATGCTAAATGCCTTCATTGTCAAGGATGAATTCCTTCTCTTGAAGGTCTCAGTCCATCAAAGGAGAGAGGCTGCAAGAAAAAAACAAGGCATGATGAACATGAGCACAGTCCAACATCTGTGTTTCATTATTCATAAATTTAAAACATTTCTGCCTGGTGCCAAGGCAGTCAGGCAGATGGAATATGCATCTGCTTTCCAAGCTGTCTGAATATCTGCAATGATGTTGTGACAGACACGTGGGCTTGTACTTTGGGACCAATATGCTGGGGAAGTGAGGGGAAAAATCCCCACAGCTTTGAAATGAAAGGATAAATTTAGCAAATTCTGCCTTGAAGGTTCTCAGAAATTAATCCCAAAAAGTGAATGATGAACTCAATAATGCTGGATATGTCTTCTGATCAGTTCAGATCAGAAGTGTACCTTTGGAACAAGTTTCTCAGTAGTTTCTTCTTACCATGCTTTGGTTCCCACTGTGGAACTGTCTCAGAGTGTGGGAAATGGATTCCTTCCAGTGAATCTCAACTGAAAGCTGTGCTCTGACTGCTATTGGGCATGTAGCCCATGGCCCCAGATAAAAGACAGTCCATGCTAAAACTGTTGAAACTTGTATAATCTGAACATGGACACCTCAGCAACAACTCTTTCCTTTTATAGACCTGATGCTATTGTCTGTGCTACATGTTACTGTAAGCAGTGTTATTTTTTTAAATCAAGAACATAGGTCAAAAATATAGCTGCACATGTTAGGATAGCTGCAGCATGGGATAGTTCAATTTTACAGGACAGAGTTGCAAGGGGAAAAAAATCCTGTTTGCAACAAAGAGATCTCTTCCCAGGGAATGTCATCCACCTTTCCTTCTATAGGACTATAAAGTGCTATTGCTCTCAATTTAAGGAAGAGTGTAAGCATGTAGTTCAGCCCATTGCTTTTCTCCAGCTGGGATGCTTGAATTTATAGCCTGCAACAGGAGTCCCAGACTGATGAATAACCGGCTTCACCAGAAACTCTCAAGGTGTCTTGCAGACATTGCAGATCTCTCAGCCTTTATCTAGGAGCAATGGAGAGAGCCTGGCCACAGGAACTGGGAAGGTGTTTCTCAACGTATTTCTTGCATATGAGAAAACAGGGGAACCACTTTGAATGTGGGTGATATGCTCAGCATATTAAAGCAAAGGCTCACAGCACTCTCCCTTTTCTTCATTAATCTTGCCTACCATCTAGCCTTACAGAAGCAATGAACAAAAGTTTATAATAACAAGCATAAATACTTACTGGAACTCACTGTAGGGTCCTATGGCAAGTGTTTATCTCTCTTTGCAATGCTCAGTCTTGTATTTGATATTTATTTATTTGACTAGAGAGAAAAATTTCAAAGTGTGAAAAGAAAAATGTTAAGTTCAACCCATGTGTGGGGCCATCCCAGTGTTTCTGGATGACTGTGCAGCGACATGCAAGTCACTTGTGAAAAAGGCATCAGCATCTCTGGAGAGTAGTGTTTTACACCCCAGTTCACAACTGTATATTTATTATGATCCATCACATGCTGTTTATCATAATGTTTATTAGTTTTACTGATTAGAATTCTTATTCATTTCAGCAGTGATTTTGCTGATGTTTTTTCATATGAAAAGTAACAAAGCACTGTAATTAACATGACATACATGTAAACGAATGTTCTCAATGATGAGTAGTTAATTATTCCCCTGGTTATGTTTTAGGCTAGCTCTGCATGTGGCATGACCAGTACTATGAAGTGCGTTTTTACATTCATGTCTAGATACTGCATACCATAATGATACAGAAACTACCATCACAGCAATTCTAAAATCCATAATTCTCATGGGACACAGTTTATGCATGCACTGAGTTCACCTGTATCTCATTCAGTCCAAGTGTTTAACTAGAATATTCCCTACAGAAAAAAAAAACCAAAACCCAAACAAACAAAAACCAGTGATATCTTTTCTAGATGCGTAAGTTACAAAGACAAATGAAATCTGCTCACAGCCTGTTCAATTCAGAATCAAACATGAACTACTGAATGTACAGTGGATTTCATTATGGGAATAGGAACAGCAGCAGACTGTTCTATGTTTTGTTCTTATGACAGATTAAAACATACCTAGTGATTATTATTTTTTTTTAAACAAAGAGTAATCTGAGAAATAATATGCCTTGCTACTGGGAAGACAGCGTGGCATTGGATCAATTCTTAGCTTGAAACACTAGGTGCCGTTTTGGTATTACCATTTTGGATTTTGCAGGATTTATTTTGTTACCAAGGTACTGATGTACAAAGTTAAAATACTTGAAGTGGAATTCCCACTAGAGAACAGCTATTTCTTTTTCTCAAATTCATGCTCTAATTCTTCCCTGTTACTTCCATGCATAGTTCACTTGGAACCATAAATAACTTGGGCTGACCTTCTAAGACTAGTACTTAAGTTTATTTTTGTGGAATTTTTGTATTTTGCAGCTGTAATGAAAATTCCTTCTTCTCTTTCTGCTGTTAAATACTTACCTAGAAGAATTTATGCTGGTTTTGATATAGTTAAAGTTGAATGCACAATTTATTTTTAATTAAACCTTACAGAAAACAGGTTGAGAGATTAGTCAATTTATAGTAATTTTTACCTGTGAAATCCAATTAGAATTAATTTAAGGTTAGTGGAGAAGTACAAACATGAGCTGTGGCTTATACCTGCAAGTAGCAAAAGCAATTTAACAACTTCAGGTAGGTTGACTGACCTACATATCAACTGCTCTGACCGAAAGGAGTTGCTAAAGGATGGCTACTTAGATTTGGACCACTACTTCAGCAGCAGCCCAGGAACACTGGCAGGTGTTGAAAAAGACCAGATAATAAGAACCAGAGATAAAAGAAAAATACTATGAAGACTGGAGCAGAATGGGGTGGAGGGGCTTTACTTTAAGCAGTAATGCTTTTTCTCAAGTACACCTCTGTAAGCGAATAGCTCTTTTTCACACTCCTCCAGTAAAAGACAGCAGGTTCCTCTTGAAGCCTACCTATAGCAATTATAGCATCCGTTAGTATTGTGCAAGGCAAGTCATGCTAGGGTATAATTACTCCATCTTGTGTGGCCCAATAAAGTTGCAAATGCCATATATTAGAGCAGGGGTAAGGGACCTGCTGCACTGTTGCTTTGTCCTGATGCTATTTATTCCATTGCTATTCTCTGGTTGTCACACTGGATCTTATTTAGATTAGGGGGATGATGATTGATTAATTATAACTAGGAATGGGCGGCAAGTAATAGCAGTATGTGCAGACACTGAGTATAATAAACTTGTTTAATAGGACTAAAAAGCATTATGTTGTACCCAGTCTTACCTTAGGAAAAATAAGGAATTGGGCGTTTGCATGGGGTGAGGGAGAACTCTGTGTTCTGGCTTTCATTCTAGGGTGGGCTTCTGCACTTGGCAATAGGGATTCATGAACAAACTCACATACAGCAAAACTGACACTTTAATATGATGCCACCCTTTCACCTTTTTTTTTTCCTTCAAAGACCTTCTCCATTCTTGATGAAGAAGAACAAAGAATCCAGATCAATGGTGTCTGCCTGCTCTTTGTCCTTATTGGAATTCTTTCATTTTTCACGCAGTTTCTACAGGTAACAGCAGTCCAATATGGGTAAATTTTCTTTCTTATCCCTTACTCAGTGGGTATCTCTTTCTGTACAACATTTATATTTATTGTTATTCACCCCAGGGATACACCTTTGCCAAGTCCGGTGAGCTGCTCACAAGACGGTTAAGGAAAATTGGTTTCCAGGCTATGCTAGGGCAAGACATTGGTTGGTTTGATGACCGGAAGAACAGCCCTGGTGCTTTGACTACAAGACTTGCAACAGATGCCTCACAGGTCCAAGGGGTAAGAGATGGTAGCTTAAGAATCGTTTTACTATAAGCACTGATTGAATGCCTATTTTAAATTAGCTACCACGCAACCAGCGAGGTCAGTGTAGATCAGTCCTTGGTCAGTCAATTAAGCTATTTCTATTTATGATAGACTGTCAACGTGGAACTATTATCACTGTATTTACTTAAAAGCACAAGCAGGGTCACAATTTACTACCCATTATTCCTGCTTGTATTACCAGAACAAGAACACAAAAATCAATAAAATACCAACCATCAATGGAACCCGAAGGAGCATCCAGTGCAAAAGTTTTAATTCCTTTTTTTCTGGAGATGACTTAGCTTTTTGCCACAATGCTTAAGAGTTTATTTCAAAATATGTCAGACTAGTATTTTAGTGACATTCATCACTAATCGTGTTTTGAAGTTTTCCGCACGATTTTGTGCTTGTTGTGAGAATTTTGATTTAAACTAATAGTTCACTTGAGAAAACAGCTTACAGTACTGGCTTGTTCCCCAGACAGGGAATCATGCAGCCAGTTTCACCATGACTGATTATTTGGGAAAGTGAACCACTAACTCCATGCGTTGTGTTCCTTAGTGGGTGAGGGTTAAATCATGCTGAGCTATAATTGTTACCTATCTGAATTGATGCTTTGGTAGAAATGATTTAGATTCCATTTTACTTGGCTCCAATGCAAGCAATTTTCTAGAAACAAAGAAGGAAACATACAGATTTCTTTGTTACAAAAATTGTCTTGTTTCAGCTTGACTGAAGACGGTAGGTTAGTATTTAAAAACTGTTAATGGAGGTTTTAAGAATTTAAAAGACAAATGAGAGAAGAGGTTCCCAAAACCCCTGTCAGGAGCAATTTTTACAGTATTGGAGAAACCAACTGCAAACCTCTTCAGCCATTACAGGCACTTACAGGACATATTTTAATTGAAATAAACGAACTTGTAAAACACTGGCTGAACCATTTAGTAACCTCCTAAGAGACATCTTTGTTCCAAGCACATGTAGAGCAGTGGGGAACGGCCATCCAGCCCACAGCTCCAGGGGAAAAAAAACCAGAGCTACTTGAGCAGCAGTGTCCTCCACCGTTCACTGCCTGACGCAGAGCTGAGCCAACAGCCGCTGTTGCAGAGCGAGCTGAAGGTGAGAAGATGCACACAGGTGTCCGGGGTCTGAAAATGTTTACATCTGCATCAGGAGTAAGAAGCAGACTCTTGGAGTGGGAGGGGGGGCGTTAGAGCTGCAAGATCCAGGTAAGAGCAGTCCTATGGCTGCTCCTTTGGTAGCCTCTGCAGAGCTGGGAGGTTGAACCTTCCACCATGGCCAGGTCTGAGGCACCTTGCCCTGTTGCTGCAGGTCAGAGGAGGAGCAGATGATGAGCATTTTGTGCTGCAAGTTCACATCCTGCAAATGAATTCAACTGAAAATGATCAAAGACATCAAATGTAATTTTTTTTTTCTAATACATAGCGACCTAGTTCCTATCTAGGGCTGCTGTTTACTGCTATGAAGCAAAATAACTTTTGAGTAAATAAATCAAGTTTATTACAAAGAAAGAACGGTGTTCTCGAAGTACATAAAGAGAAGATGAATGCATTCAATAAAGGTGATGTCAAAGGTGTGTTTAAAATTTTTCCGTAACAAAGAGACAGGCAGAAATACAACTTTAATTCATCCTTTCTCAGCGATGTTTCTTATTGATTTTAGCACAGCTGAGACATTGTCGCTAACAGTTAAGTTGCAAATGGGTTCTGTTTATTATTTAAATCTAGGGGGATAAATGTAGGGCTAAACAGAGTACTCAGATGAGTGATTCTCCAGGGAACCAAGGGAGCTAATTTCAATAGTTAGATTATCTTTCTCACAATCATTAGAAACAATTTTCTGAGTTCTCATTAGACAGTTTGGTGGGTGAAAGGACTATTGGAGGTTTGCAGTCCTTCTCATGATACAATTAATTGGAAACAGTATATCCAAACTGGCTAAATTCCAGTGCAGTCTGCAGCCATTGATGCCTTATGATATTTAGATGTCATTTAGAGTTTTCTAAAGTTTTATAAGAAACCTTATTTAAAGATTGTTGCGGTTACTATTGGAGTACAAGTCAATCACCTCTGTTTCTTTTCTTTGCAGGCAACTGGATCGCAGATAGGAATGATTGTCAATTCCTTTACCAACATTGGGGTGGCCATGATCATTGCTTTCTACTTCAGCTGGAAACTGAGTTTAGTTATCCTGTGTTTCCTGCCGTTTTTGGCCTTATCTGGAGCTGTGCAGGCTAAAATGTTGACAGGATTTGCCTCTCAGGACAAGAAAGCGCTGGAAGCTACTGGACGGGTAACGATATTTAAAAGCTAATCTGTATTTACAGTCACTGCTAGTTGAAAAATCAGGCATTTGGGACTGGGATCAGTAATTCAAATGTAACGAAACTGGCAACATTTGGCAAATAAGTTGTAATATTTCAGCTTGTCAAACCACTGAAACACCATTGGGAACTACCTAACTGCAAAAGCACTTGCTGTATGGAATGTGACTGACTTTCGGAAAGTTATTGGACCTAATCGGTAGACACAGATCTCTCAGCAGTCTGTTTCACCTTTCTCCAGTTTTATTGAAAGACCCATTTGTTCATGCCCTGTGATTATGCGGATCTCAGAAAGCAATTATACATTTTCACTTAGAAATCCTCACATCTGAGAATTCGGCACTGAACCACAGATCAGAACGTGGATTTTAGAGAGCAGAATCGTTCCTTCAGTGGGCCCTACTAGCTTACCAGCTCCTCCATCAATGTGTGCTGCTAGATTGCAGGCATAACTTTATTTTTATGTAAGGATTTTAAGGGTCAAAATTCTATCAGTTCTCATTTCTCAGCTAGTATATAAATCTTTTTTTTTTTTTTTTTTTTTTTTAATTCTGATAAGCATTAACCATTTTTCTGGTAATTTGTGACGAGAGACTTTCTCATAATACTTTAAATTTTGCTCCATGGTGGAAGCACACCCGTGTGGGTATTAAACCAACCAGCTTGGGACACGAGGAAGGAATTCTCTTTCCTTGGAAAGAATGTGTCCAGTGTTCAGTGACCCCTGGCTAAAGCCCTCCTCCTTGTTCCTCTAACTCCTGTATCGCGGTTAGCAGCATCCCGTGCTCCATTGACTGCAAGACCCTGTGAGCTGCCTCACCTCGAAGGCTGAGAACAGCTTTATGAAGTTTGCACTGGCTGAGCAGGCTTCCAGTCCATGTACCAAACGGGGAAAATGTAGGGACACAACAGAAAGGAATGTCATTTCCTTACGAGTTCACTCCTACGCACAAAGAGTGGGTGGGTGCCTTTGAAACACTCAGACTCCTTTGGCTTTACTTCTGGGTCACTAAGTTCTGGCACATGACCCAGAATCTGATACTTTTGAAATATACCCAGTTCACCTGTGTAGAAACTGAACGGTGTCAGAAACACAGGGGATTTAGAAGACAGATGACATGAAGAGGACTACCTCAGTTTACCCCGCTCAGAGAAATGCCTGAGCCTTCTCCTCTGCTTTAGACTGCCATATTTCTAGCATCAGAAGTATGCTTTGCAAGCCCTCTCTAAGCCTCAGAGATTTTCCTTCAGCAGAGTTACTTCAGCCCATCCTAAAATGACTCTTGCAGACTTCCCACTGCTCCTGATCCTCCTCCTTCTTACATTAACTTCCTGCCCACCCAACATCTTACCCATCACACCTTCCACCCTGCCCCATCTAAACCTTCCCTCTACCCAGCTGAGCTCTCAACTGACCATCTTCAGCCTCCTCTTGACCTTAACCAAACACACGGACTGGAGCCCTTTGCCCTGTTCAGCTCTTTATCTACTGGCTGCTTCTTTCCCATTGCCTGCTGCAGCCAGCTCGGCCTGCCACCCCCCCTTTTTGACTTCTGGAGAATATTCTGGATTGAATATTTTAATGATTTATACTCAGATCTCTTCCTACATGCTGAAAACAGTCATAAGCCATATACCAGACTATTGCTTCCCAAAGGAAAGCATCACACTATGAAGCTACTACCAAAGCCTGGCAAAGTACAGCATTGTAAACCAATTTATTAATAAAATTACTTGAGATAAGTAGGGTGAAAGTAGTATCAAACTGCCAATTTACTTCTGTAGATCAAATTGGAGTGCTATTTTTTTTGGAGAGAAACCCAAATTTTGACTGACAACAAAGCACAATATAAAGCCTACAATTAATTAAAACTCCAGAGACATTTCCATAGGGATTATCTCACAGTTTCCTCATTTTCCTATGTACACAGGCAAGCATTTGCTTACTCTTTGTCTATATACAAAGTAAAATCCTGGAAATTGTGTCACTGATCTTAAAGGAATCAGGGTGCCACCCTCCATTCATATGTTCCATCTCATCAGGCTTTTTGGACATAAACAAGAAAAAGAGGGAGGGTCAGCAGGTGAGGAAATATAGTAAATTCAAGTGGTTTTGATTTATAAAACGGAAGTTGGGGATAGCATCCCTTCTAAATCTTTCTCTGACTTGCTATAAGTAAAACAAATAAAATAATTTAATTAAACATCTTTAATTAATAAATGCATGCCATCAAGGAAATAGCAGTGTTCCTAAAACCATTTTTGCTTTTGTGGATGTCCCATTTAGTCACATCCCGTGAAATAGGTCACAGGTGAGAGCATGTGCCCGATTTCCTAAGTGTGCTTACAGTAACTGGGGTCTAGCGGGGCAGACAGAGCATTACTCTTGAGGATGTTCGTAGGCAATTGCTTGTAGGGGAGTTTCTCTTTAGGTTTGCTGATATTTGTGCCAGTCTGTACCATATCTGAAGAAATTTATATATGGCATCAGTGCCCTGTGTTCATGAACGAATCATGCATTTGTGAAAGAGCACACTCTGCTTCTCTGAGTGAAATTTTGGAGCTTTTACATATATTTTTCTTTCTCCTCCAGATTGCCAGTGAAGCCCTCTCCAACATCAGGACTGTAGCTGGCATGGCAAAAGAGAAAATGTTTATCGACAATTTTGAGAAGCACCTGGATATGCCCTATAAAGCTGCAATCAAAAAAGCACATGTTTATGGACTCTGCTTTGGCTTTGCCCAGAGCATAGTGTTCATTGCCAACGCTGTCTCTTACAGATACGGAGGGTTTCTAGTTGATGCTGAGGGACTCCACTACAGCTTTGTGTTCAGGTGAGAGCCCACCGGCAGCCCCAAACAGGTTCCTCTCCAGAAGCGCTGGTCTCGCTGTAGTGTTCAGTTTCCCGAGAACTGCTTGCCAAGAATGACTGTGTCCCCCTTCCCCACAGGGTGATCTCTGCTATTGTCACCAGTGGAACTGCTTTGGGAAGAGCTTCTTCCTATACCCCAAACTATGCCAAAGCCAAAACATCTGCTGCACGCTTTTTTCAACTGGTCGATCGGGTTCCTAAAATCAGTGTTTACAGTGAAAAAGGGGAAAAATGGGTAAGAGCGGAGATGAGTAATTTCTGGTATCATTCAGCTCAATATAAGCATTGAAGTTGCACTAATGATTTATAAGTCAATGAGGATCACTGCTTTACAGGAAGGTTATGCTGACTGTATAATTGTTACTTGTCTTTGCTCTTTTGGAAGCAGAGAGCTCTGTACTTGACAGCGAGAGTAATATAAAGTGTGGCTATTAGGAATTTGTCAGTGTAAAACTCCTGTAAATTGGAATAGGACCAATTTAGATGACTCACAGAATAGCATGTTTTTTTATTTCTGCTTTCCAGTTCGCAGATAAACCTGACTATTGTTAGCTTATAATGGAGTCTTTTTTCCCATTCACATCAAAATGTTGGGGGTGTTCACGAGAAGGCAACTCATCTTTGCGTCAGACAAAATGAAAATGCTCATGTTTCGGTGAATTGAAAAGTCAGACCCAAAAAATTCAAATAGTTTATTTTTTTTTTTCAGAATTAAAAAAAACCCTTGAAATAATTGTTAAGAACTAAATACATTAACTATCCTGCTTCAAATGATGAAAATGAAGTATCTTGACACCCTTCAGAGTTTTGTAAAAGAGTTTTTTAAGAGTTCGGGGAAAATTGGCCTGAATTCATGTATTGTTTTAACATTGCAAAGTTAGATTGATTTTATTTTTTTTTTACCAAATCTGGATTTTTACACAAATGTATTTGGGATATCACCGAATTTACACTGTTATAGTGTCTGTAGTAAAATAAAAAACTTACCCATTTGCAAGGCAATCCTATTTCCAATTGATCCTGCTGACCAGTGCAGTATGGGGAAGTATAAGCAGAGCAATAGTGTTATGACTAATGGCTTCCTCTCTAGGAGAGCTACTCCAGAATGGTTTTTATCCCTCTTTCTGGGCCAATTTCACAAGCACTAATGTCATGTTTTAAATAAGAGATGCAAGAATGGAATCTGAGGAAGAGTTACTTTGTCCTTTACTACTCAGTTTTGAGCTCAAGCTCATTGTAGCATCTTTTTCATTTTTTTTTTTTTTTCCACCAGGATGATTTCAAGGGGAGCATTGAATTTCTTAACTGTAAATTCACATACCCTTCTCGACCTGATATTCAGGTCCTGAAAGGACTCACTGTAACTGTTAAGCCTGGACAGACTTTGGCTTTTGTTGGAAGTAGTGGCTGTGGTAAGAGCACCAGTGTCCAGCTGCTGGAGCGTTTCTACGACCCTGAGAAAGGAAATGTGGTAAGCAAAGGAAACGTGGTTTGTGTGCTGTTGTTTTCAGTAATGCCACAAGGACTCTTCTCAATGTGTCCTGCTGTGCAGCCTAGCAGTGGTGGCAGTTTGGGGCTTCAGCTCCTTCTGGAACAGACATGGACTGTTCTGGCAATTCCTGAGTATCATCTCAGATGTATTCAGGCAAGATCAGAATACTGCAAGCCTCAGGTGTACCCTTGCACATTATGTAGGCCATAGGTACTCACCTTGGTAGCTGCTGTATGAAACACAAACTGTGCAGTGTGCATTGTGGGAGCACAAGCAAAAATCAAGCCTGAATGGAGCAACAAAGAGCCTGGAACACCTATAAATATGCTCCAACATGCAGCTTCTTTGCAGGTTGATTTTGTCTAGATTTAGAATCATAGAATGGTTTAGGTTGGAACAGACCTTGAAGATCATCCAGTCCCAACCTCCCTGCTATGGGCAGGGACACCTCCCACTAGACCAGGTTGCCCAGGGCCACGTCCAGCCTGGCCTTGAACACCTCCAGGGATGGGGCCTCAACAGCCTCTCTGGGCAACCTGTCCCAGTGCCTCACCACCCTTAAAGTGAAAAACTTCTTCCTAATGTTTAATCTAAACCTGCCCTCTTCCAGTTTAAAGCCATTCCCCCTCATCCTATCCCTACATGCCCTAGTAAAAAGTCCTTCCCCAGCTCTCCTGTAGGCCCCCTTTAGGGACTGGAAGGCCGCAATAAGATCTCCCCAGAGCCTTCTCTTCTCCAGGCTGAACAGCCCCAACTCTCTCAGCCTCTCCTCATAAGAGAGGTGCTCCAGCCCTCGGATCATCATTTAACTTCCAGTTATTCAATTACTGATAGATTAAAAAGCTTTTATATCTTTTGCTCATGTAAATATTTTAACCATCTAGTTTAATTTATCTTTCTTTCGAAGAAGTAAGTGTGTTGATCACTACGTCAGGAAGGCAACAACATGTGTGCCTAACCTTAAGCAATTAAGTAGTTCACTCGGACTTAAGATTAAGCAAATGGTCTAGTGTTTGGCTGAAACACAGACATACCCAGAAAATACACATCATGCACAAAGGAGTCAAATACAAGCAGATTCTTCAAATTACTTTAAATCAGATGTCTTTGCATTTTAATAATATGGCTAAATCATTTAGTTTTGCTACAAACTATTTGGGTTTTGCAGGCTGTTGTTCTGAAATGATGTTGTAAGTTTTCTCCTATTTCTTGGTAGTTAATAGATGGACACGACACTACGAAAATAAACGTACAGTTTCTTAGATCAAAAATTGGCATAGTGTCCCAGGAGCCTGTGCTATTTGACTGCAGCATTGCTGATAATATTAAATATGGCAGTAACACCAAAGAGGCGACGATGGAAAAAGTCATAGAAGCAGCCCAGAAGGCTCAGCTGCACGATTTTGTCATGTCACTGCCTGAGGTAAGCACCTGCGAGGCCATGGCTGGGAACTACAAATAAGCTGCTCTGTCTTCATTGCAGCAGGAGTTACTCCAAACCCAGTTAAAGCTGCTACATGTGTATACCTTTTATTTAGTTTAATAGCAATAAGGGTAGGAGCAAAGAGGGTGTGGTGACCATGCCTCTTATGTTCTGAGAGTTTGGGTGTGAGTTGCTACTAGATTTTTACACAGTAGGCAAATATTTCTAAAACTGAAACCAGCAGTTACAACTCTAAACTAGGAGAAAAGGGAAGATTTTTCAAAGCCATTGACAAGAAAGAAGCAGCAGCACAGTTCAGCAGTCAAAGCATTACACTGCATCAGGAAATCTTCTGTTCCCAGCCGTGGGAGATTTGCCTTGTGATTAGGGCATGATACTTAGACAAAAATATTTGAAGCTGGCTGCTTACATGCACTTAAGAAGTATTTAAATGCACTGAAATCATATAAAGCAGAACATCAAAGTTATCAATACAAACTAGGCACCCAAGCAAAACACTTGTCCAGAAAGCCCTTAAATCACTTTTAACCTCTTCTCCCAAATCGAGGCTGGGGGGATTTCTTTTCCTCAGGCAAATCAGACATCATCTTGCTAACAAATTTTTCTTCCAGGCCCGTCACCATACTGCCTGGGCTCCCGGGCCATGTGCACTGCAAAGCACCGCTCGGAAGCATCTCCCCAAACACGTGTATTGCTCATGCAGTATTTCTGCACTGCTGGGTTTTTTAAGAAGGCGGCAGCAATAGTCAGGGCTCTTGCCTCTCTCCTCCTGCTCTTCCTTCAGGTTGTGTACCGGTGTGTTTGCTTGCACCTGAATAAAATCTTCCTCCTGTATTTTACAGAAATATGAAACTAATGTTGGGGCTCAAGGATCCCAGCTGTCTCGTGGGCAAAAACAACGCATTGCTATAGCGAGGGCCATCATAAGAGATCCTAAAATTTTATTACTGGATGAAGCTACATCTGCCTTAGACACAGAAAGTGAAAAGGTAAATGCACAGTGATACCCAATAAGGGAAAGCGAACACAATGGCTTACAATGTACAATGCCTTTTTCTGTTCTACAGAGACTTCCCAACATACTCCACTACGTGATCGCAATGTTATTCCCCATTGTTAATTCAGCACTTATACCTTTAATGATCTTTTCAGAAGATCCAGAAAGCACAGCTATAAAAAAAGCAGCCAGCTACAGGGGCTCTTAGACTGCCAATGAGAGGCGGCACTTTCTCAGACATGTGCGTACTGATTTCCTGGGTTTCAAACCATTCAGTGGGAATGTTTCATACATACAGCTTCTGAGCTTAAAAAAAAAAAAAAAGCGCAAAGCAAAATGCATTAAAAAAAACCCAAAAGTAAAAATGTATTCAAGCATATGAATGATGAGCATAAACATCCAATTAAAACAGCAGTGAGGGGGCTAAGAACTTGGGCCATAATTTGCATGGCTTGGTTATGCTCCGACATTAGGGAAATGGTGAAAATTTAAAAACATAGCCACACTGAGCTGACATTCAGCATGTCAGCTGAATTAAAGGCCTGCCTTAATTTCTACTGCAGTTTATGTTCACCTGTCCCTTCTTTGTACTGCTAAGAAACTAAGTTCATGACCCAGCTAAGCACCCTGGTGAGGTAATCTTTGATTTAGCTTCATAGTCACTTTTACAATTTGCACAATTAGTCTGAAGCAATCAGATTTCTCCAGCTCTGAGCCCCAATTTGGTTTGCCCATTTTCACTCTGACACTTTGTCTGTTGCCTTTAGACTGTGCAGGCAGCGCTGGATAAGGCCAGAGAAGGGCGGACCTGCATTGTCATTGCCCACCGCTTGTCCACGATCCAGAACGCCGACATCATCGCTGTGATGTCGCAAGGACTCATCATTGAAAGGGGCACTCATGATGAACTGATGGCCATGGAAGGAGCTTATTATAAGCTTGTTACCACTGGAGCCCCAATTAGCTGAATTACTCGGATTCTAAATGTGAAAGATAATTTTTCTGTAAGCAAATACTCTGCGGTAGGTGTGTGTATGTTGGTTCCCCATTGTGCTACAAAGTGCTCTACAATATTGTGAGGTCTGTGGTACCCTAAATGTATGTAGCTTTCTGCATCAAGCACACTTGTCAGGCACGTGCCTGGGACTAAGCATAGGCTGATGCATTCAGGAAGTAGCTTAGCCACTGCAAAGGGAAAGGAAGCCTGGAAATGGGAAAGATCTTTGCTGGTGAGATGGGGAATTGCCACCACCTGCAGTCAGACTGCACTGTCCTGTCATTCCTCAAATAGCAATCAAGGAAGACTCCGCTCTGGTGTTCTGGAAACTGCCACTTGTCTAGGTAAGCTCTATGAATAAAAAAACAATCCCAAGAATGATGCTGTATATTTGAAAGGATCAAATCTCTCCTAACGTTCGGTCTGCAGAGGATTACAACAGATACCCTTACTGTGGGCACGGAACCCCCACCCCTTCATACCATACACATCAGCCGTGCTGTCGGGGGAGGCTGCGCTTCCACCCTGTGCAGCTCTAATGCCACCACGTCAGCGCCCTGAGCCTGACAGAGCAGTGCCCCTTCAACAAAGCCATTATTTACTAACAAAGAAGGCAGCTCCACAGAAGTAAGGAAAACACCCAAGCAGAGGAATAGAAGCTGGTGAGGATCATTTGCCTACACTCACCACTCTGATCAAAGCTGTCAAACAGATTCTGAATAGGAATAAATGCCTTAGTTAAATCAATGCAAAATCCCACAGTTAATCATCACTGTTATTTAAATTACTTCTATTGAGTCGGTGATGGATAGTATGTTCTCTTTTTCTCAGAAGGCAAGACAATGAGTATTTTTACAGAAACCATAAATATATGCAGTAAAGGTGTGAAAAAATAGCCATAATTAGCTGTTAGTATTAAGCAGAGTTGACAAATAGAGCAACAATTCACTCAGAAATGACAAAGGTGAGGAAGTATGTTCTTTTGGCAGAAGATTGTATCTGTAACAGTTTATTATAAGGTCTACTGCATGTTTCTCTATTGACATATCTATATGATATTTAATTTATATGAGTATTTAAGGCCATGGAGAAATAACTATTCTTTATTAAAAACTAGAATTACTATGTGTACTTATTCCATAATTCTTTTGCCTAAAGGACACTGCTTTTGTGGCCAAAATTATAGCAATAAATTGGATTTTTTACTGGCTCTTGTGCTTTAGCACTTCATCTCTTACCCTTCAGACAAGCACATGAGTATCTTGCAACAGACAGCAAGTATTTGTATGTACGTAGATCATGTCTGTAACAAGGATCTGCTGTGCAGAATGGAGCTGTTGAGAAAGCCAACGCAATTGCGCTAGCCGCTGCCTGCAAAGAGGCCTGCCCCCTTCTTGCAGAAGCACAGTGACATGGCCCCAGCTGGGTGGTACTACTACTGCTCTTATACATAACATCATCCTATTTTTAGACAGCTAGTAAATATTGGGAGCGATGTATTGGGAGCAATGTATTGGGAGTGATTGCCTGTGTAACAAAGGCACTCACAGTGTACACTAACAGTTGCACTGGTCTTACACGTTCTTGGGTGCCATCTCCTGCCACTTTATACATGTGCGCTATTGACAACCAGTTGATTATAAAGCCCTTCAGTACCTGTGCGAAGGACGTATAGTGCAAGTGGAGCTACACGACGTGTCTGGGCATGAGCAACAAGCCTTGATGGACCTCTTGGTGTAGAGCTGGACTGGTTTTTCTTCTGCAGCTGCTCCACAGGTAAGATCGCCCAGCCCCGGAACTTGGTGACAAGACCTCTGAGCAGATCCAAAGGAGTTTGCTTGCAACTTTCAGAGCCAGCCCTGAGTTATTAATCTTGACAGAAGTAGCTGACAGTGTCATTCGGTGTGGCCCACTGTATGTTTCTCTGCATGGTCCGTGCCAGCTGCATTATCTGGTTTTCCCCCCACCCTTTTCCTCTGGATAAATATAACCATGATAGTGTATTGGGATGGCACCCGAGTAACTGCTCTGCAAATACAGCCCCTGCTTCAACTAGACTACTCTGAGCAGGAACAGCCTGTCTGTGGCCAGAGTCCTTCCATCAGGAAGGCATAACAGGAAATAGGGAGGATGAAAAGCCGCATATTAGCAAAAGTGAGTGTTATGAACTGAATGTAATGCCAATTTGTCAGCTAGTTTGTATGAGGAGTGAGGAACACTTTCACCTCATGTAACTCCTGCCTAGTGAGAATCTTTCTGCAGACAGATGTAAGGACTTGGAATTGCAGTATCCCAATTTGGGCATCTCTAAATCAAGAATAAAAGAGTAACTTTCTCCCGAGATCCCATTAGCGGGAGAAAGGGGATCAGTCAAGCACTTTCCACCCTCCTTATTACATAGGAAAAGCTTAAATTCAAAGGGGGCCTTGTGGTCCAAACCGGGTTAAGTAGTTCAGCCCATTATAGAAGTGTATATGCTCTGTATCTGTTCCAAATATTAACAACATAAACAGCTGCAAAACCCTGATGAAGTTACAGTCTAAATGTTTAACAATTTGCTAGCGCTTAGTTAAGGTGCCACACAATCTTGCTTATTAAATAAGGCTTATTTAATAAGTGTAATTTTCAACTTTGATAAATTCACTAAAGCCTTGACTGAGGGACATGTCGGCCTATTTCACCGTAGCAACTAAATAGCTGGATCTTGATTTACAGTTCTAATAGTATCAAAATATCAAGATTATATCTAGACACTTGTTTATCCCACCACTCCGGAAAAGGCTAACTCTATTTGAAGTTCTGGGAGCCCTCTTTGGAGATTCTTCAGGCACAAAACTCTATAGCCCAACACGCTTAACTGCTCAGAAAGTGTCTTATTGTACTGCTATTACTTTATCAACAGGTTAATTTCTGAAGTTACTGGCAAAATTAAACTAACTTTATTTATTCAGTTTTCCCACCATTCTTGGTTTTAGTAATCTTTTAATAGTTGCAGAAAGAATAAGAGGTGGTTCAGCCAGGAAGCTGCTCTTTGCCCCTCTCCCTAAAGCACTGAAGTTGCAGGCTGAACTAACAGGACACTCCAAGAAAGCGAGTAGGAGCCCATGTCTCCTTACGTGTCTGTGCGGTACTTAGAAGAATGCTGCGGAAATGCTAGTTGTCATTCTACGTTAATGGTTGTGTCTAGCTCAACAGAGGCACCAAGAGTCTTTGTCAGTACCGGGAAGCACAGAACCTCAGGTGGTAGGAGCTTAGAAACATGATGTCTGCCCATAACCCCCAGCTTATAAAAGCCAACATTGCCCGTAGGCCCAAACACTGCTGCAAGAGCCATAGATGTCTGTGCACAAAGAACTCCCCGCTGTTGGCCAGGACAGCCAGACCAACCTTCTAGAGTTTTGTGATGCCTCTGTACGTCACCTCACTGGTAGGGAAAAACAAAGCACAGAGCATCTTGAACACAGGAGAAAGCTTTGTCATAGCTGCCTTTGTTCTTCATTATTTGTTTCCAGTCCCATTAGCTTGGTCATTTTGCTTAAGGAGTCACAATTATTGAAGAGACTGTTTTCAGGCCAGCTGTTGCAGGAAACAGAGTTCAGAGAATCATTACAGAAGGTATCAGGAGATGCATAAAGCAGAATGCTCCTCAGACTGTTAAAAACAGATTAATAATTTTAAGTCAAGGTAGTCTTAGGAGGCTTTTAAATAAGGATGTCTGTTTCAGATTTGCTTCTGTAATGTGTATCATGTTCATTCCCAAGGGCCAACTCAAACTATTCACCTTGTTTTCCCAATTAAATAAGATTCTTTCGTTTTCAATTATCCCCCAACTAATTGGAAGTCTAAAAGCAGTATCATGTTTACATCTTCTAAGCCTTATTGCTATCAGATCATACACACACAGCCCTCATTACCCGTATAATAGCTTCATGCTGCTTGTATACTAACTATTAAAAGATGGTATGAGCAAAATATTGCTTAAAGATTGAGCACCAAAAGGGAACATGCAACAGTAGGTGCTAAATAATGAATAAATAGGAAAAGCACCTGCCTTTGCCTATTTAGAGCATCCATTTTGTATAACAAACATGTATTTAACATATTAGTTACTTGTGTGCTTAGGTAAACCAAGCTGACAAGAATATAAATTTGCAATGACTTAGTCTGCAATCGCCGTTTCTTGATTTACACAACTGCTAACAGTGACTCAGGCTTCTGACTCTCGACATGAAGTAATTAGACTAATTTACCTTTACAATAGAGAAGCATGAACAATATGCTGAGATAATTTCATTACTGACAACTTCCTTCATTTGTTGCTCTGTGTAGAACCCAAAGATTTGTTACACAAATTCATGCATTTTCATCAAAGGTGTAATGTGTCACTCATTATTTATGTGACCGCTTTCAAAAAGTAAAAATGACAAAAATCACACAGTAATGCAAAAATATATTCTAGAGAGTCTAATTGAAATACACTTTTATTTTTTTCTCATCTGGCTTAATCAGAAGCTGTTTTGCTCAGGAAGCTCAATAAGTTAAATCTGAAGCCTTGTTTATAACTATGCTGGCCTTTTTCACAGTGCCTGGGTACAGTTGTGGGTAGTGTGATACTGTCCCACCATTATCTAGCAGTTTAACACACAATACCTATATATAAAAAAAATTTAATGTTGAGTATCACTATATACAACTGAGGCTTGAAGCACTGTCTAGCTGTAGACGGACAGAACTAAAAGACCACCAAGTAGCTGAATAAAACTAGTTGATTATACTTTAGAACTTCGTTATGACCCAGGCTATTGAGTCACATGTACCCATACTGCAGTGTCCCTCATTGCAATATTTCTAGGAATAAAATCAGCAATTAATATGTCTGAGCTGCCAAAGTCATTCTTGAATGGACTGATTATGGATGTACTGGTTACTTACCAGGAGCACACCAAAGGTGCAGTGGCATCCCCCTTGGTT